ATATATATATATATATATATATATATATATATATATATATATATATATATATATAGGGTTGGGTTCACGTGAGACCAGCCTGTTTTCGTGAGACCCGTGAGACCACATTTTTACACGTAAACTTCACAGCAAAAACGCTGTGAAGGTTTAAAAAAAGTCGAACCTTCACAGCAAAAACATTGTGAAGGTTTTAAAAAGTTACCTTCACAGCATTTTGCTGTGAAGTTTCAAGTGTAAAATGCTGGTCTCATGGGTCTTACGAAAACAGACTGGTCTCACATGATCCAAAGTCTATATATATATATATATATATATATATATATATATAGTATTAGTAAGCCCAACTTTTTTTTTAATTTATGGGCTATGTCCCAAATATATTCATAAGCCCAACTTTTTTTTAACTTGTGGGCTATGTCCCAAATATATTCATAAGCCCAACATAAAGCCTAACATCTAACATAACCAAATCCAAATGAATCGGCGCCTAAAAATCCCTAAACCAGTAAACATATCGACACATTTGACATTGACAGTCTCCAAATTTTGAAATCCATCAAGAACTCTATCAATCTATCCATGGTTTGATTTTGGCGCACATCATCAAGACATCAACCAAGTGATTCAATTCTTTCCTTCCACTTTTTCGATTCCAAACTCCATCTGTTAAAGTCCATTAAAGGTCCAAACCGTCTAAACCGGTCAGATCATACCGCATTTTCGTGGTCTAATTTGATTGGTCTGGGCAGTTGATGTCAAACCGTTCGGTTTGAAAGTTTTATAAACCGCCAGTATGGTTTGGTTTGTGGTCCAAAGGGTTAAACCGCCCAAACCGGACCGCGAACACCCCAATAGAAAATAGATAATTCCAAAAAGTTGATAGAATTAACAAGAGTAGCCTTCGGTTTGATTTTATTAACTCCATCACTTGTTGGGCTTCACTTTCAAACTTTTCTTGAATTTGCAACACTTTTCCTAAATTTTATGTCGTTTTTCAAAAAGATTCTCAAAACCCGATAATTCTTTTACTTGATACATTGTTATATAATCGTAGGCGTCTGAGTCATAATGTACACCGACTAACTCAGCTGAGCAATGCTGGACCGAATCGCTTTCGGTAGATCTTCCATGACTTCTTCTTGCTGTAACTCAGCTGTCTTGAACTTGAGTTGCTCTTTCAATCCTTCTGGTAGTCTGTTCTTGCTTGCATATCTCAACATCTCGTTGATCGAATCCCTCTTTAGTACACGAAATCATAACGTTAAACCTCGTAACCACGAATCATTCTATGAAAATCGACAGAAGTAGAAGAAAACCCACCACGATAAACGTACAGCTTCCATAAACCACGGTTTTCTAACAAAAACGATGAACAGATTGATCAAAACTCGAAAGTAGAAGTATGTACACAGATTAGTTTGATGTATCGTGTCCAGAAGTAGCTGAACCTGGTGTCCTTCTCTAACCTGTGGAATACATATATATATATGAATTAGCCGAATTTCCAATGGCTCAGCTCGATCAAATTCGAACCTATGAGGGTCTGTACTGTACCTGGAGAAGAGCTGACTGACACGTCTTAGCCGCCACAGCCGGAGTAGATTGAGGAAGCCAAAGACCTGACCGCAGTGGAGCTTTCGAGTAAATGGACTGAAACGGCAGCGTGGAAGCGATGTCCATGGGGAACAACATGTGGGTGACATACCTGTAAATTTAAAGAAAGATCCACATGAGATCAGAAAGCGAAACGGTTTTGGATTATGATCAATGGGTTTAATTGATTTACCGTGTGGCGATCTGGCTATGATCACCGACAAGTAGATAGGTGGATTTATCCAAATAAGCAACGAAGAAGGTTAGAACGATATCGATGGCGAAGAACAAGTCGACAACCAGATCGAGAAACATGAGAGAGCCTGTAGCCACCTTGGTGAAAGCTAGCTCCAATGGGGATGACCTTCACATACAACATTAAACGTTACCATTTGAACATTTTGTGGTCACCAAATCACTTTCCGTTTTCTAACAATCATTTGAACATTTTGTGCTCACCGTTTTATTTACTAAATTTTTTTCAACTACTATTATATACTAAAATTGGCCCCCCGTATTCTTTGTGGGCCCTACGCGTGCTCCCCCCAAGGGACGGACCTGTTCGTACATAGGCACCACCTGCGCATCCTAGCCAGGGTCTCCCTTGGTCAAACCCGACATAACGTGAACTCGTGTAGTTATTATACTATATTATCATCATACTTGTTATAATTTGATGTGTAATGTATCGAGTACCAAATTTATCGGGTTGATTTATAACGTAAACATTAAGGAATTTGAATTTACCGGTATCTGCGGTGCAATTACATATTTTTTAAGCGGAGGAGAATCATCACCAATGAGAGTTCCAAATGCCGGCAAGAGGCTACTCGAGACGGAGGCCATGTTCTTCATCATTTCCTCACTCGAGTGGCGTCTATACAACGGTGTCGGTGATCGCATCTCCGACAACCTCTCCCATCTCCATGGACCGTAGTTGGGTTTTCTAGTTTTTGCTTTAGGTCTGATTATGGTATATATATATATAGAGGTTGACTTATTTTTATATTATGATTTTAAATCATATAAATAAAGAAATATAAAACGTTATTTTAGGGAAGATAATATAGTTAGGGTTTTTCTAACAAATGAACATTTGACTTTCTGTTTTTGGAAAGACAAGATCTATACGATTGCTTACTTCATGGACGTCACTAAAATGATGAGTAAATTACAAATTTGGTCTATGTGGTTTGTTAAACAATACCATTTTTCATTCCTAGAGTTTTGAAACTGCAATATGACCATCATGGTTTGAAAAAATATTCGGATTTGGTCCTTTCTTTTAATGAATGTTAGAAAATTCCGTTAAATGAGGAGCATTTTCGTCATTTTATCGATTCATTTGTCTTTTTTACTCAAATCAAAATCGATTTCATGATTTTGGTCAATGTGGTTTCTGATTAGGTAAAAGACCAAAAAAAAAAAAAAGGATAGAAAAACCAAAACCTCTCTTATTTAATTAATTTTTAACGGTTGTTAAAGACAATGGTCAAATTCGAACGTTTTACAAACCATGATGATCATCTTACAATTTCAAAATTACATATACAAAAACTACTATTTAAATAATTGTGTATTTTAGAGTCTATTTTGAGATGGAATTTGACTTTGTAGTCGATTAGTGTTAGTTTCAATGCATAAAAGTTGTGTATGTAATGCAAGTGTGACGCTAAAAATGAAAGAAAACGTTAGATATAGGGTAAAAAGTATTAAATGTTTCAAGTATTAAGAGATAGGGGGTAGAATGTAATTATCTGAAAGTTAAAGGTAAGGCATATATAAGTTCTGTTGAGTGTTGACTAGGTAAGATATTTGAATAATCCAATCAAACTATTTTTTGATGTAAATCCAACTCAATCTCTTCAGATTGGAATGAGTTGGGTTGGTGTAGTTGAACATAACTTTAAGTGTAAACTACAGATTTGTTGTATAGTGAAAACTACAGCTACACTTGGTTTCTTACACTGATGGTTATCATGGTTTACATTTCTAGATTGAGTCCCAAATGCTAATTTCAGAAAAAAGTACTTTGTATGATAAATAAGAGGTATTTTGATATTTTCACTTATTGCTTACAAAACCATTTTAAAACATCAGTTATTAAATACCACTACGTGTGTGATATGTATCATAAATTGACTTAATAACAATGGTAGGCAACTAAGTTCATTATGAACATGTTTTCTATTATGCTTGGAAGTATGATGTGACGATACCAGAAAGGGATATCCAGTGATAAATTAGCATTGACCAACTGATGATACTGTAAAACTCGGATCTGATAGGATCTTTAACTAGTCTTTGCTAGTACTTCTACAACTAACCCTAGTCGTAACTGGTTTTGTTCCTTTTAACCAGATATTCTTAGGTTTTTATACTTTTAGATAAAACTAACATTCATTAATTCTTTTTATAAAAATTATGTTTCAAATATACTCATTTTTTAACATTTATTTTAGAGTAAATTACATTTTCCGTCCCTGTAGTTCGTAAGAAATTGCAGAGTTCGTCCATATGATTTCGAGATTATGGTTTTCGTCCTTATGATTTGCAATTTATTTTTATTTTTATCCCGAGGCTAACCACTATTTTTAAGTATAAAGAACTAAAATAAAAATGAGTTGTAAACCACATAAACGAGAAAAGAAATAGAGTTTAAATCGTAAGGATGGAAATAATAATAAGTTATAAAACATGTGAATGAAAATTATAATTTCAAAACCAGAGGGACGAAAATAAGAAATATCAACAAACCACATGAACAAAAAAAGGTAATCTACTCTTTATTTTATGTAACTTATCTATAATATGTATTTGATAAAAACTCTTAAAAACAATTTTTTATACATAAAATACTGTTTATTGATGCATATTAATATAATTCAATATCATAAGTAAATCGTGTGTAAATACAACTTATTAAAACATTATTTTTTAATTTATATAATTAACTGTGAGTAAATATAATCAAATACGGGATAGACATCTCATTTTAAATATAAAAATCTAAAATATAATTAGGATAATCATCAGCTATAATAAAATACTTCATTATTATCTTTATAAAAATTATATTATTAAATGATATATAAATCACTTCATTATTAAACCTAAATTAAATTATAAAATAAAATATTAAATTAAAGAAATTACACAAAAAACCAAAACTTTAAATAGTAAATTTGATATTAATATCGATATTATTTTTTCCAAATTTTTATGATATATTTAAATTTATATTTTAACCGACTTAATAACCGGGTCTAGCTCTAGCTTCATAAAATCACCACTAGTTATACACAAAAACCAATAGCATTATTAATTTGCCAAGGAAGTTAAAACTCAAAATCAAAGTATGCTGCAAATATTTCCATTTCTTTGTAAATCAATGTAACCAAAGCAAATAAACAAACCTTTTGTAGATTTTGACCTCAAAAATCCAACAAGTTTGACTACTAAAAGTCAAGATGTCATCTACCCTTTCTTCGCTATCGAACGCAAACATAGCAACCAACCGAAACAAGAAGAATTTATGAACAATTGATCGATTACTCGAATGATATATACATACACCTTTTCTACCTTCTCTGCTTTAGAAGTACAACACAAACCTTTTCTTTTCTTCTTGAATGACAAAAATGCTCTAAAATGTGCTTTTTTCGACATTACAAAACTAATGGAAGGGTCGATCCTGGAGCCGCAAGTTACATGTATTGAGCTAACCATTGTTTGCACATATCGAGCACTGGAAGTGCGTTTGCGTGTAACGCCTGCGATATCCATCAATCTCGCATTAGCTTTACATACAAATTCTAACTCGAGAGTATTTGTTTGTTATGTACATGTTTCCTTTTCTTTAGATTTTATTGAACCGAAAACCAATTTAATATATTAGGCAAACCGGGAAAAACATTTCCAAATAAGGAAAGAATCAAGAATGCACGAAACTAGAGTTTTCAAGAATCAGAATACATACCTGATGTGCAACATATTGGACGTCCGCCACACTTCCACTTCGAGAAGCAATCTGGAAGGCACTCTTAAGGCGGCCACACACCACACACGCCAAAACTTTCCTGAAATGCCAAGAACATATTAGAAACGCGTTGCCATCTGGCACTGAATTAACTAATGGAGAACAAGAAACAAGAAACATAAAGGATACCAACCCCCCCTTTTCCTATTTATGACACATGATATATACATGAGGTCAAGAAAATAAATAGGGTAAAAACAAGACTACAGTTGGAAAGTAATCTGATTCGTACTCGAATAAAGGGTAAATGCTACATTATGAAAATCTAACCTGTGGCTGCTAGTTAACATGTCGATAAGACGATCAGGGCGTTCTTTATGTTTGTTGGCATATACGTTGATAGCTGCTCCCAAAACCTACATCCACAGGCAATTTGCCATTACAGATTAGCATCAGAACTGATAGATACTACGTTCTAATAACAAGGAACCTAAGTCCCAACAAAGATCATTATCTCATCTAGTGGCCATGAATACAATTATGGATGGATATAGAACTTCTGGGAATATAAATCTTGTATATTCAACATGTGAATTAAATACCAACAATCTTACCCTTTTATTTCCACGTCTCTAAGAGCAAACTAATGATAAAATTACCTGGTCCCAGTCTTCATCGTCGATTGTGCCCTTAATATTTCTGAAAAAATCAGTCAATTGTCCGCCTTTCTTTCTATCGGCAAGCGATGACGCAACACCAGCATATATATCAACAGCTGGAAGTTCACATTCGATTCAAGAAAAGAGAATATGAAACTGAATTACTTCAAAATACCAGTAAAAGACTGAGGGAAATGTCATGACAAAGTTGCTACCAGAAAGATTGAACTCGTAGATCACTTGGAAAGCCAAGTCAAAGTTCTTCTCGACAAGAGTTTCTGCAATCTCACACCTCCGCCTGTAGCAAAGAAATGAGGTCCCTTGTGTTAGTAATCAGCAATAGTTTCTGCCACATATAATTAGGTATGCTGTTGTAAACAATACCAAATATAAACCAAGATGGATTTACAAGAAGCCATTATCACTTGAGAAAGTTAGGCAAGGTCCAGAAATAGATGCATATCGGTAATTTTTTTTTCTAGCACAAAGCATATATTTAGCAGACTACACCTTGAGAAGGTAAAGAAACAATATAGAAAAAATGAAGTGACCATGCACAATATACCTGAAAGTTTCTGGATCATTTGGATTTCCAAAAAGAGAGTATTTCCACTGAGGCCCATCTGTATCATTAAAGGATCTTATCACATCCACCTGCAACAAAAAACATGTTAGCAAGCCTCAGTATCACAAGAAAAATGGCAAGCTTTAATCATACAAAAGGTGCATTTAGAATTGACACGAAAGATAAATGGAAGTTGGTCATAGAGAAATGATGCAGGGTAACATTGATGAAGGTTAGAAGAATACTAGAAGCATGATTATTTCATGAAGGTGGGGGATTAATCAAATCATATGACGACATGGTTATTTAAAAAACCATCTGTAAGCTGCTTCTCCCTTCATTATGAGAAATTATTAGGTAAATTCCTTCCACATAATCTTGTTTAGGTTCTAAGACGTTGACATGTTTCAACTGTCAAATTTGATGTTTAGACCTGTGATTTTGCTATTTCAATTAACAAATGTTACAGTCTATTTCAAAGACACTAATATGATCTAGATAAAGAACCAAATTAGCAATTTAAAGCACTCGATTTCCAGTCCAGATACTCAATAATTTGAAACATGGATAAGGTTATTCAGAGATGTGGTGCCTCATTTTGCATCCATAAAAGAGAAAGCCTAAAGCCTAGTCCAAAATTATTGATGTGCAGATCTTTATTATGTAATTATGAAAGGCAATGCCCATGTATTGATGTGTAGATCTTTATTATGTAATTTTTTCGAATACAACACCACTGTTAACATCATGCTAACCCTCATTAATGCAAAATAAGGGTAGACTAATGGGAAAAATAGAATTTGTAAAGTAAGCTACCTGCATTGCAACTCTGGCAGAAAACTTCACTAGCCCTTCTTCTGTAAGTTTTTGTGATGCACTTTTTCCACGCACACCCTTGGTGACAAGCTTAGTTGAGCCTCCACTTTTGTATCTTGCTGATAAGGCTTCATCAAAATGCATCTTCATCCACGTAAGTAAGATAATTAGTTGCACAGAAAATGAATGGTACTCCATCCCCAAAACAGTCCACCTTAAAAAATTTCTTTGTCCCAAACATGCTACTCCAAAGTAAAGATTAAAACAAATATGATGCTCCTAATCTAACCTAACCAAGTTTAAACTGCAACATCAAGGCAATCACCTAGTAGTTAACTAAATTTAACAAGTAAAGAAGCATGCGATGACACAAAAACACAAAATAAGCCAAGGAAATGTGAAATAGCTCAACAACAAAATCAGTGTTAACTCGGGTGAATTGGTGCAATTTAAATCAATGAATTACCACATTAAATCATCAAGAAGTGAATGTGAAACAAAAGCAATTTTCCAAGGTGGCTAAGACATCCATGCACTATCTCCTTGGTAAATCTGTCATAGGTGTAAGCCATATGCTTTCAGCAGTGGTCCCATTAGTTGCTGTGAACTTTCTTAGACATGAATTACAATGATCTTTTGGAAAAGCCTCACAATGACATTAGGAAAGTTATAACAGTAGCAAAAGTTGATGGCAATCTACTGAAGAATTGATAAAGCCACACATATAATAAGATATATTGGGACCATACAGTTGACAAAATATACATGCTAAGAAAATTTGGACTCCCTATGGGTTCAAGGTAAGAATATATGAGCTTCTACAGGTGTGCGTCATGGTCCATGAGGTGAACATGAAGTTTGAGTAAAGTTTAAGGAACGGTGATCCAGTGGTGAATATTTCATCTCATGCAGAAACTCCAATGGGAAGCGGCTAAAGCTGAGAAATTTCAATAGAATATACATTCGACATAATGTCCCATGCACCTCTCAGTTAAAATGTCAATCATACACATTGTAACCACAAGGGTGGTGCCTGATTGGTTTGAGCTTGGCTCCAAAGGTCAAAAGTACCAGGAGGTACTAGGTTCAAATCCAAGGAGAAATAAAAATCCCCTTGTGGCCACGGAGGTTCAAATGCGGTGAATCCGGGCTATCTGCAAAGCAGGTGGTCGCCCTGGGATTAGTCGACTCGCATAGCGGGTTGGATATCCAGGTTAATAAAAAAAAATCATACACATTGTTAAACAAATCTTGATGTTGGCAACAAGGAGAATTTTTCCCTCAATGGCACGCAATTTTAGCAAATTATTGGTTCCTAGAATTCTGCTATGTCATAGAGATCATATAGGATGTGAACTGCAAATTGGGAGCCCAATAATCCTTCACAATGTTCCGGTCTAATAACTAGTGCAACTGAACATGTAGCGTCACCCAATCAAAAGTGTGGGGAAATTAGCTCTTAAGCCAATCATGTGGATATATGATGGATGCAAAGTAATCGACAACTAATATAATTATTTTCGAGGACCTATTTTTTAATGTCAAGAGTACTTTACAGAGGCCAAAGCTGAGAAAGGAAGGCATCTATAAAGTACAATAAGTAATCATATATTCTGTTCTGTTTCTTTCAAATTTGACACCGTAGCGTCTTACTAATTTTAAGTTTGAGTGATCTGACAGTTTTTGGTGCCATAAAAGTGTATCTCTCAACATGAGGCAAAATTAAAAAGGATTCAAGTGATTTGTCTGATAACTACAAATGCATGTTCCTTTCAGAAGCAAAACCATAGGCAAAAACCAATTTACGAAAATACCTCATTCTCACAAGTGGTATGAAAGCTTAGCCTTCCTATAGCTTTGTTTTTTCCGACTGCCAAATTATTTTATTCCAGAAGTAAATCAATGGCTATTTCTTAGCTACATATTTGTTCATTCTTGGACTTTGAATATGACAACCCAGAGCATACTTGAAAAGGGTTCATTGAAGGCACAAGGACTTACCTTGGCATTTTCCAGGTGTTTTATAGATTCATCCAGCACAGATGAATTCACAAATAACTGGATACAGCAAAGGCCAGCAGCCACATGATCATTCCCTATCACCTGAATCATTAATATACCATCAAATCACGCATCATGTGACCAAGAAATATAAAACATGGACACATCCAACATTATTTTAGGATGAAACTGAAGGGTAACAAAGGCAAGAAGACGGATTGGACGAGAAAGAGAAATCAAAAGGGAAAAAGACAATATTAGTAGGGAAATGCTTGTTGACTGATCAAATTCAATAGAAAGTCCATGTAATGAATTCAGAAGGAATAATATGGTGATTCTAGCATTAATAAGCATTATCAAACTCATCTTTCACCTTCATTTTCTATTCACATATTCCATGACACTTCCAAATACCATTCCCCAATAGAGATGGTATTTACCTCTAATGAGTAAAGCTATGGTGTCATTTGGGATCCAATAAAAATAAGCATGTAACAGAAAAGAAATGAAGCAATTACATCGGAGGCACGACGTATTTTCAAAAAACAAATCCATTATTTGCTCTTAGCATTATGTATATATAGAAATGAAAACGTAAAGCAGTATGCTGCAGAGCACATAACAGCCATTATACCAGAACTCAGTCACAAGCACCTGAACTGACAACTGCAAAAATTTGGAGTAATTTTTTAATTAATAAAGAAGATGCTTGGAGGTAGCACCCAGTAGAAGAGTCAAAAAGTATCCTTTTCACAACAACAATGCCCTTTTGATAGAATTCTAAAGTTCCAACACATATTCACCTACTCCGACTCTACCCTTCAACTGCTTTCAGAATTTAGTTGCCATCTATCTTTGTGTCTCTCATAAAGAAAGCATATAATACTCAAGGTTCTAAATGGCATGAGGCATGGCGTGGCAGCGAGCTCAAGCCTTAAGCCTTACACACCATGGCAAGGACATGGAGTTTTTCAAGGCGTGACATAAGGAGGCAAATTTGTATGTCATATATATATATAATTATATATACATATATGTTTTCTATTTATTATTCAATAATACAATGATATCAAAAAATTTACATTCATATTAGAAGAAGAAAAATCATATATATTAACTAGTATTATATAAAGAGTCTATGATCAAACATTCAAAATAGAACTTTGAAGGATTTTACAGCTTCGTGTTAACCATGAGTTTGTGAAATGTGTGAATACATGAAATAGTGAGTGATGTGAATGGGTAAGTTTGTAAAAGTGTAAAATCTAAGTTAAAAGTGTAAAAACACAAAAGTAAAAAAAAATAAAAATTTACAAAAATTATTTTTTGAAAAAAGTCACCCCTTGTAAAAAATGCCGTGAGCCATGCCTCACATGAATGCTATAGGTCTCATCGTAACAGCGGAGATGCGTCCTGCGCCATGGCGCACCTTTTTGAACACTGATAATACTTCTGTCATTGACTTGCATTAGTTACCACTCAATTAAGATGATTTATGATATTTTCTAGTCAACAGGACCTAGCTTGAATAAACATTTAAAAAGGCATTTTCTCGTAGGTTCCTTCCGACATTATGACACAGAATCAAAAAAATTACAAGAGCGACAACGTTAAATATTTTTCCTTTTGGTTCACTTCGGTAATTCTCAACCAGTCCCCTCATTTTTCTGAGCATGTCACGAAAGAACAGAAGGTTAACCCTTTTTCTTAATTCAGAAAGAACTATTGATCAGAAGTTAAGAGATTCAACCAAGAATGTATGAATTACCTGGAATCTGTATAGGTAGTTGAAATGCTTATGAGTTTCACAGAAGACACAAATGCGATTAAGTGCAGCTGCTGTATGCTGCTTTACTTCCACATCCACTGTTGCCGTGGATGACATTCTGGAAGACATTACTTCCTCTAAGACATGCATGGCTCCAAAACCAATGCACAGGTCACACAAATCATCAACCGATCCATAATCAGTTGAAAGAGGATCTGGTTTCTGCTGGGGAGATGATGACATAACCGCAAGTGACGACGGTTGAGGAGGAGAAGGAACAGCATTTTCAGGAAAAAACAGCATGCAAGCATCCTTATAATGACCATGCTTAAACATAAAATCAAGCAAATTCTGGCGTGTAAACTGCAAATAGGAGATAGCACGTCAGAAAACCTGAAATATTAAAATGACATGTGAATTCCTGCTCATGCATGATTGAGAAGATCACAAGTCAGCCCAAAGGTGCACCCTTATTCATATAAACAAGAAACAATGTCTTCAGTGTCACCAATCTAATAGTGAACACGTGGAATTTTGATTCGCACAAAAATCAGCCATTAAATTGTATGCTTGGAACCATCTACCATAATCGCAACTTACACATATAAAATCATGCATACATGTGCATGCTTTGCTTTGTATAAAGGTGCATTTAAATAAGTTCCATGAAGCTGTTGGCATTTTTCATTTTGGTTACTGAACATATACAACTACACTGCCATGCAAACCAACACAAGCATGCAGAGACTTACTCAGACCACTTAATTTTATTATAATATACAGCTGCGTCATGTGACAGTGTCATCCAATACTATAGACTGACAGCAAAATGCAGAGTGTTCTTGATTTCAACTTTTATGACTAGGGTATGAATTGATGCACTATTACAGAAGGCAAACATTGTGTATATATAATACATAACACATAAAGTAGACCTCGGGATTGAATGCAATAATTATAAACATACTGGAAACCCCGACACACAAAGCCTCCTCGTCAAGTTGGCACATAGATATCCGTTATGCCCAATTTGCTACCAATAAAATCAATTTGGGAGGGAGCAGACATAAATTGACTACCTAAACTAGGAGTTAGCAATGACTCAATGCACCACTATCACATACTAAAGTTCCCAACTGGCTAGAAGTATACCACAATCAGATAAAGGCACAATAGACTAGTGATTTTCTGCACGTATGTCAAGGGAATGGTAGAATGTGAGCTTATACAGAAGATCTTGCCATAATATGGCCTCTTTAGATGCTGGCCTAACAAGATTATTAATTATCCTGTGGTCTACCTCTAATTATTGTTATCCATTTAGGCTCATGGTTCAACGATATGTAGTATATATATTTATCTCCCTACATAGTGGCTATTAAGCTTCTCATCAAACATTGAAACTTTTCTTATGAAGCAGATTACTGATTGATGCTTACTTCTTGTAAATAGTTAACACATTCAAGGTATCTAATGCTATCCAGGTTGCTGCGAGGAACATCTTCAAATTCTAAACTATTAGAGGAATTATCGTTTGAAGCTTCTTGTCCGCTCCTGGATCTCTCAGATCGTGGAAATGTAGATGGCATGTATAAAACGTTGAGATATGAGTCAGCAGAAAGAGAATCATCCAAGATTGCAGGTGCACTTTTAGCCAAATGCTCGTACCTGCAACATAAGTTACAGTTGGTAAGATGATCTTAAGCATACTAAGTTGGTGATTGATTTTCACTCAAATCATGTATGTCATATCATGATTTAACAGTAAGCACATGCTTTGCATGCTTTTGAGTAATGCAAAAGACATCAGCCAAAAGCATAGAGATCAACATTACTAGCATATAATCTTCGATGTACATCCAACCTAGAATCAATGAACTATTATTCTTGAGTCGACAAGTTCAACAATAGTCTGGACAAAGTGAAAGTGCTTTCTCTTGTTACACATGCATTGACATGGACATGCAATTAGGAAATCTTGATATGGCAATCTAAAAGGGTGAAAGAATAAGAATTGATTCTTTAAAGAACAACCTAAAGATTGAAATATGAGGTTTTAGAAAACAAGAGATGAATGAGGGGGCTTGCAACACAGTCACATCACCAGGCAATATCAGTCACATCACCAAGTTGGATGTCAGGTACGTCAAAAACCAACTAACTAGACTGCTGCAGCTTTAGAGAGAACTGAATGACAAAAATATTTGTACACGGGGAAAGAAAAAAGAGAGTGAGAAATACATGGAGTGAATATAGTAAGAAAAGGTTAATTGACTATGCAAAAGAGAGGAAAAAATGAAACGTTGACGACTGGTGAGACGAAGGACAACAGCTCAGATTTAATGTTGAATATATATATACTCCCTCCATTCTGGAATAAATGCAACATCGCCGTTCTGGGGAAATTTCAAGAGGGAGTACCAACTGTTACGTTGCATGCTAATTTGGAACAAAGCACAAAGGATAGAGCAGAACAAAGCTTGCTCTGAAGTGAGTGCTACCAAAATACCGAGCACCAGAATTTGTCAACAAATACTACATAGAATTCACCACCAATATTGAGTAAATAACCAGTCAGGATTCTGAAATTATCAATCTGCACTTATTGCAAGCATATCAACATCTAGAGTCGAGATAAAATTTACACATACATACTGCAAACAGAATACTTTCTTACATGGAACGAACCAATGAAACATCTGCCGGTGGACCTCCTTCAATTGTATTAATGATATCTTGAATAACTGGTGCAGGGTCATCCTTGTACAATTGAAGTGCTTGCCTATCCACAATGTAAGAAGTAGATCATCAAGTAGAGAAGCTAAAGATATGAGAATACAGCCATTGTGATGACGCTAGAGGGTAAATATGAACTTAACGTACTTGAATTTGACACGAGCTTGAGCATAGTGCTCCATTCGAATTAAAGCAAGTCCCCACGCATTCCATACAGCAAACGCATCAATCTTTAAAGATCCAGACATAACTATCACCATTGGATAGAAGAAAATGAAAATGTACATTGCAAAATGCTTATGTATCATACATACCTTACACTTCTTACAAGTATACACAGCCATGCTATACCGTTCCTCCAGAATCAGTCGATCACGCAGTCGTGCAGAAGATTCCTTATCGGCAATATCATCAAGCGAAGCAGCAATTCCATATCCCAGAAGGCTTTGCAACAGTTCAGCCCGTCTGAGCCAAATGTCAGCTTGCGATAGAACTTCAGAGACCTCATCTGTTGACTGGTTCCCCATGGTAGAGCTGCCTGCATCAGAGAATGTATCCTCAACATCTTTACTTCTTTCAGAATAACTGGATAACTCATTTCCCCCAGAAAGCTTTCTAAGCTGAGACTTGGCATAAAGGAGCCCCTGCAGAATACAGAACAAGCTTTATAGTAGTTCATGTATATCTCTTTCAGATATATATAACCACTTCTATAAGATGACTCCTGGATACCTGAACAAATGTCTCCGTAGCATGATAAGCTCGACCAATGATTTCCATTGATGCATTTTCAGGAAGCTGTTGAGAGCTTAAAACAGCTCTCATTTGATTAACACACAAATCCAGAGCACCTTTGGCGGAAGAACTCTCATCCGCACACAGAGAAAGCAGTTCCTATACACACAGGAATGAACTTTATAATAAGACACCAGCATAATCTATGTAATGCTAGAATCAACTTCTTCAACTAGTACAGATGGTATGCATGAAAAAATTATATTTCAGAGAAGCCACTGTCATACCCATATGGAACACATAAGCAGCAATCGCTCTACACTTTAAGAGATCAAAATATTAACTGACAAGGGGTGATTCATCCATATGAAGAAAACCAAGCATTACCTCCTTATGGTAAAACAGAAGATGACACCAGAAAAAAAATGACAGGAAACTCCTCTAACTGACATTAGACAGAGATGAGACTTCTTTTCAAAGGGAAACTCCGATAAGCGACTAAAATCTCCCTTCAAAGGACACGAGTGCTATTGGCATACCATTTGTAAGGAATTCCAAGTACCAGTGGACATTTGAACCAAAAAGAATAAAAGGAAGTGCCATTAGGTCAATATACAGCTATTCATAAGCCAATTCTTAACAATATATGAAACTAACATCTAGCTACTTACAAAAGGTCATATATATCAGCATCTTCTAAGCAGGACCCAAGGGAAACAAGTCTAAAGGAACTTACTGGAACACTGAGAAAAAAACTAATATAATGTGGTCTAAAATACTTTGTACACATTGAAAATCAGAATGCTCAAAATATTAATTGTAGACCAGTAAACAAATTAAGGATAAAATAGGACTTTAACGTGTTAAAGAGTTGTCATTAATGAATCTGTTCCTAGCACATTATATAATGTATAATATAGATTATGAAGGCATCATACCTTGAAGAGAATGATATCTGGGGCACTTTCATAGTGATGAGAGGACCGCACAGCTTCATCCTTATATGGGTCACCTGTGAGCATCCACTGTTCAGCAATAGAAACTGAAGGAATACGTTCTTGCCCATCCATGCTGTATGATGAAACACGATCTTCTTGAATGCCAGCCATTGCCTCCCATGTAGCTTTTTCAGATTGTGGCAGTCCAGAGCCTTTTCTTTTCCTCTGAACATCCTTAGGAGCAGCTTTCTCTGCACTATTCCTTGGATTCCAAGAAAATGCCCTACGAGCCTCCTTTTGCAAGTTACTTAGGCTGTTGGAGAATGAAGATCTTGTAGGAGTTCCAGACTTCTGCTTTGTTTTTGGACCTGAAACTTGTATCCGCGACTCACGACGAGGTGGGCTTATGGTAACAGAAATTGCTTTGGCGGCATATGTAAGAATTTTGTTGTTGTCTCTCAATGACGGGAATTCCTTGAGTATCTAGAAACAAATTTTATACACCACACATCAGGAAATCAATCTTCGAACATCATACATGGAAGAGAATTTGTGTTGTTAAGGTACCAAAGAAGCAGATTGTAGTTGTTTGCGCATTAGCAGAACTTCCACAATCAGCTGAGGGTGCTCATGTAACGAAGAGCATCTTTGCTGCCACGGCAAGGGCAAAACAGCCAACACACGAAGACCTAAGGCCCACAAATTAAGCCGGGAAAGCTCAGGTTCGTTCAAGTTGCTGTCTCTTCTTTTCAGGAAAAAATGAACCTTCAAACAAAAGCAAACATGCCTACTTAAGTTGCATTCTTTCTAAATCGATTTCCAAAAAACAAATAATGTATTCTTACAAGCAATTGTTTAGATCGCAGGTTGGGCAACTGCTGCATCGCACCCATTGCAACTGGTAGAGCATCTTCTGAATCACGCAGGGAAGACAGAAATCGTGAAGCTTCAGCGGGACCACCACCATTTATGGGGTCTGCTGTAAGAAGCTTCACAAGTTGACGGCCCTGGAGTTCTCTACGAAGTTCAATAGATAACCCTGCACTTTCAGCAACCTCTAAAGCAGCAGACACAGCTCCCTTTTCAGCTAATCTAAGGGCCAAACCCTCAGGATCTTCCTTACACTCTGCCTCAACCTGAAAAATCAAGAACATTGGAAAGGGGAAATATTGGACCACAAATTTGGTTAAAAATTAACAAGGATAACTATTAACATTGCATAGATGTCGCTATTAAGAATGCATTTAACCTCTTGCCAGCTATTATAACGCTCATCTGCAGATAATATGTGACTGTATCGCATTAAAGCTTGCCTCCTGAGAACAACCTATATACACAACATACATGTGAGGGGTAATAGCAATATACATATGCAACATCATCACTTATCTACCAAAGGGGTAATGGCCCAGCGGTATCCGGGTCACTAGTAAATCCCAACCTCCTTGGAGGTCAAGGGTTCAAGCCTCACCGAAGATGAGGAGTGTGTGCTAGTTTTTCTGTATAGTAATATTATATGCTTCAAGAAAAAACAGCACTTGGTCTAAAACATCTCCAACCATCTGCAAACTCCAATTATATCAAGAGTTGGTAAAATAAACACCAAACTAGATACCTCTTTCTTAGAAGGATCATTTTCGCCCAAGTGACAGTGACACATGGTTAGAACATCCAAAGCAGCATCCAACTCCCACCTATGCAAATATCTGTAGTGAGAGAAAACATTTTATTAATGAGTTCTCCAGTTCTTCTCCAGACTTTGCTCTAATCGAGTACTATCAAATAGTAGTGTTAATAAACTGCAACAAGAGAAACCTGAATACACAATAATGACAGTACTACACAGAAGACTCCAAAAACAGAAACATCTAGCCATAAGAAATAGAAAAAATCACGATGTCAGTAGACATACTTGAGGACAAGTGTTGCTGCAAGTTGTTTATCTTTCAGCCGTAGACAATATTTCCAGCTATTGCTTGGTATTCTGAAGCTCGAGTGACCTGAACGATTGAAGACAGTATGATTTTCCTCCTCACGTTCGATAAGTAACTTAAGTAAATAATCTGAAGCGCCATCGCGTAAGCATCGATCAGAAAGAGCAAGAGCATCCATTAGTTTGCCTTCATCTATCAATCTAAGAATGTATAGGAAAATAGAGTAAGCAACAGTAAGTGGTTTAAAGTTACAGCATCGAATAGAAAATTAATGCACACTTCAATATGACATAAGGAGCGGTTTTAGATACAGAGTATCAACACGAAATAAATTCTATCTTGTCCAGTGACTTGACACACCAAGATTCTTATAGCAAGTGGACACATAGGAAAGCAAAAAAAAAACAAAAACTTCAATAGAATTTGAATAGAAAAGTATTTCAGGAGCAACTTTCAGAATTTACCCTACTAAGTGGTATGAGGGAAATAGGACGTCATTTATTAAGGTATATGACCGACACCGAACCATTGGAATTACTATTCAATGTTATCTAAAGTTTGAAAGCATACAAATGAGAAAGGATAATGGAATTGACCACAATTTCGAGACTGCTGGAATTCTCCCACTAGGCCTGAGCCGATTCAACAGAATGATACCCCTATCTCTCCCACAGGCATCTATTTAACAAATTCCCATCCCTCACAAAATGCCAAACTACCCCTCTTTTATACTAGTTATTAAAATAAAATAGACCAAGTCTAGTTAAGTAAACCATAGCTTACTGCCTCCTATGAGTGTACGTATGCACCGATGAAAATAATGGCATCTATAAGAAAACGTTCTGGAGAACCAGGACCTGGAATAGGTCACTGAGGACACAAGTCTAGATGGCAAAATGGACTAATAAAATTTACATGGCCAAAACTTAACGAAGTTTAGAGGAGTTAGGTAAGCAGATTGTTTCATCTTTTTCAATTACTGAGCACTCTACATACATCTATTACTATTTTCTAGTGATGACAGACCTGGAGGCCACCGAACTATGCAAAAAGCCTCAGTCAGGCATGTGAACTAAGAAACAATTGAAGAAGGTCATAGAACCCTATAATCATGTTCTTTTTTATCAAATCCGGCAAAGAACGCCAAATATACCCCCCAATTGCAAAGTGACTAATTGAAGGGCCCATTTTTGTAAAACTTAAAACTAAAAGTTTTCAAGGAGAAAGAACTATTTCTTTTCAAACGAAAAAAATTCTGATTGTTTACAAGGTATAAGTGTTAACGCAGAATGCATGCCCGTACCATATTGGATTGCAAAAAAACTTAAACATAATAAATAACAAATAAATCAACACAATGAAAAGCCCAAAAAGTAAAATCATTAGCCTTCATCTTCTTCCCCAGAAAAGCAAAACTCGGAAATTTTAAGAATGGAACCCTATCTGATATAATGAAAAAGGTTGCTTCACACAACCAAAGCTTGTAGATCTCGATCAAAAGTTATAAAAACATCAAAGAACCCACCTCCATAAACCCTTTTTACTTTAACCTTTTTTCCTAATTTTTAACCAATCTTTTTGTTTGGACCATAGACCCTTTTCCAGTGTTTTTCTAGACAAAGAAAACAGAGTTGAATTTGGGGAAGATGTGTTTGTCTTCTTTGTTACTTTCATGTTTTCAGAAATATAGACATCAGGAAAAAAAAAGACAGGTTTCGGTAGACAAAGGGAAAGCAAGGTTAAAAAATGGCAAATGGGAAGGATTTCCTTCTTACTCCATCAAAATGCTACAAATCAATTTGGAGGTCGAGGGATAACTACCTCTAACCAACTGCAGATAGACATAATATTAGTAATCTGTAATACTCTAAAACCCTTTTTTCTGGGGTACCTTCGCTTTGAGCTCCTTTGCAATAACAATGGCTCCTCAATTCGTCACACTAAAACAATTGAAAGGAAACTTCATTCTTTTATCTCCACTTTTTCGATCTTGTGAAAGATTAGAGACTGCATAAGGTGATTTATTGAAGTGGGTTTTGCTCAACTATTGAAACAATCTGGAGGTAGTTTCACTTTTTTTCTTATTGTTCTTGTGTGTGAATTTACAATGACATTATGGGAAGGAATTGGAACTTGAAGAGATAATGAGGATAGAAATGGTAGTTGAAGAAGAATTCAAATGGCATAAATTCCATCAAGCATGTTAGTTTTATAAATAAGGGTTCATGTACGGTTTTAAGTTTAACAAATAGAACCCTGAGCCTTAGATTTGTTGCCATTTAGTATAAAAGGTGCATTGAAGGCATTATGGTCATTTTATGGTTTTCCAGTGACTTTTTGCCATGTCTGATAAAAGAACGAGCCTGACAAAATCCAATTACCTCCTTTAGTTTTTTTTTAGTTCACATATCTAAGTGAGACTTGTTGCATCTCTGGTGGCCTCAACGCTTATTAGACCTACTTTATACGAGACCCACTTTTTGAACACCAGAACTAGATGAGAAGAAATGCTTAGGTTGTGTTTAGCTATCATTCCTCTACGATTCATTTACTTCTGTCACAGGTAAGATTAACAATCATTTCATTTTTATGAAGACCAAGGAAATCAAGTTGTGTCCCATATGGAGATAAAAATGAACATAGAATGAAGAAAAAATATGGTAAAAGACAGTAGGCAATACACAAAGGTACACTATTCGATGCGAAGTGAAGTTCCTAAATGAGATATAAAGCTAAAAGAAGAGAAACTTCCGTACCTGTCAACAGCTTTTTCATATGGTTTTTCATTCTCCCACCCAAAAGAAAGGAATACTGTGGTATCAATTTCAGCAGTTTCAGACTTGGGAGAATCTTGCCAAATACCAGTTTCATTGGTGGTCTCTGAAAGGACTGGAATGCTGGTGCCAACAGCTAAGTCATCATGCTCCAAATCAGAATCACTATCATGCTCACGAAAGCGCTTGACAGAAGTTTTTGCCTCGGGTTTATCACTTCCATCACTAATCATGTTCTCAGCAGTTACAGCAACCTCTGAAACTCGATGAAGATTAGTTTGCATTTGTATCCAGCGATTCAAGGTTGGGAACCTGCTCACGAAAATTAAAAGTTAAATGGCATAGAACAGTGGCAAACTAACTATAATCAGTTTCATTTAATGTGCAAACAGATGAAAGCAACCTCTCTGACTGATCAAGTGCAAACTCATAGAATAATCTGTCAGCATCATGCTTCTGCACTGATACATCGTTCAAGGAACTTGATATGGTAGAGTCACTGCCACCGTATAATATACAGTTCCCAAAAACACATGCTAAGACGGCCCTGACAGGGGAGAGTTTCACAAGATGCTTTACAACATCCAACTGAAGAGGGTACAGAGGAACTCCAGGTGTGGCTGAGGAAGGACAATATGAACTGGGCTTGGCTTCTCTCGAAGAAGGGGAAAGAAGTTTACACTCTGAACTACTTTTGGGGCATGTAGGAATTACTGCAATGTCTGCCCAACCATGACCAGACCTTGGTGGATAAATCGGGGGTACACATGCAGAAATCACTTCATGGACAAAATCAGCAGACATAATTTCTGCTACCTTTGCGGCTGCATCAGTGCTACCTCGGTCAAAGACCAAACGAGTCAAAAGCTGTAAGAAACAGGTTAGAAAAGAAAACGAGTCCAAAGTTGTGAATAGCTTAACGAAATAATCAAGTGTTACTCAAACAGCAAAGCTATATTAACATCCATAAATACAAGCTGAAAGACTAAAAAATCCCAATTTGTAGTTCTCTTTTATCCAAATTGGATTACCCCTTGTTCATATTCCAAACTGTGTTATGTGAACAATTCAATGACGACAATGCGATAACACCCAATATGATTTAGTAGAGTAAAATACTAGCATAAACCAGATCAAACAACTACTATCAGAAAATTGTACTTGTATTGAAGCTCAAAAAACAAATAATCAACTTCAGGTACAATTTGACTTCCACTTCCACGAAATGGAACTACAGTAAGATCTTTGAGAAAGAACAATGTGATGGGAATGAGGAACCATTAGAATTTATGTGTAGATCAAGGAAGATTATTAAATCTTCCACACTCAGCAAGAAGCTTTTTCCGGAAAGGCAGGCGAAGCCCCCAAGAAAAAAGTTACAAATAGAAGAAGATGGCCTTTTATAACAACCAGCTGAGCACACAACATATATCACCTTCCTTACAGAATCCAAAAGCGGAACATAATCAGAAAAAGTTTCAGTGAATGGTCAGAAATATGCAGAGTTAAACCAACTAACAACTTGATGCAAATTCCGTAGCGTTTAGAAATGGTGTAAAGTATAAAATCGATCCATATATATTAAGGGACCTTCTATGGCAAGTTTACAATTTTTCAAGTTCATCACCGTTGTGCACAAGAGGTAGAAGAATTTAACAGAGTTACACAAGAACAGTGCTTCAAAACAAGTTCAAATAGTATCCGAGTTGCTCAAATATTTCATCCCAACTTATCCCTATAGAACAACTTAATTTTATTTCAAATGTACAGCAATTATTCAGCTTAGTGTTTTGTTGAACAAAGGGAACCTTCATTTTAAGATGGTAATGCATCTTCAATAAGATTCCAACATTTTAAGCTTCTCCAATATTATATTCATTATAGCACATCCATCTCCACCATCCCCTCCGCAAATTAAGGAAAGAAAAAAGAAAAAAGATGATGCTTTAAGATCCAAATTGATTAGACTTCAAAGTAGATGCCATCGGAAAATAAAAAGTTACACATATCGGCAAAATCTACTTACAATAGAAAATAAAAGATAACCCCAAGGGTGGTGTCTGATTGGTTTGAGCTTAGGCTCCAAAGGTCAAAAGTGCCCAGAGGTCCCAGGTTCAAATCCAAGGGGGAATAAAAATCTCCTTGTGGCCACAGAGGTTTAAATGCGGCGACTCCGGGCTACCAACAAAGCAAGTGGTCGCCCTGGGATTAGTCGTCTCGCATAGCGGGTTGGATATCCAGGTTAATAAAAAAAGAACAATAAATAAAAGAAGACAAGAAGCTAAGATGAGAAAAAAAGGGGACGTACATCTTTAGGCCATTCATAAATGAGAGAGAAATAGTTGAAGTCATGAGTAGTATCTGTCCCATCAACTATGTCACCAACAGCTGCAATATGGAGGATAAATTGGGAGAGGTAGGTTGTAGCCTTGGAAGTCAAGGGGCCATATATTCTCTTTTCAGCATCTTTCACATCATATGATGTAGAAGCCATGGACTTCTCACCAGTAGATGGAACTGATAATGTTTGCCTCATGGGTCTCAATCCAAGTCCTAGAACTCCACCCTTGTCATGAATCAAAGCATCCTTATCAGGATATGAACTCTCTGCTCTCATATATTCTCTTTCATTTTCTTCATCAGCAATAGCTCTCGCAAGATTATGAAGCTTACCTGAAATTGATCAAAGAGATCAAACTTCATACTAGAAAGTGAGAAAATGGAAAGTATGCCCACACTAACTATCATCCCTGCATAAAGGTTGGACGGCTATCGTATAGTCAAATTACTATCATAAACTAATTGGAAAGAAAGAATTGATCTTTCATCTATGGGAAGGCTTTTACGGAAAGATGAGTACAGGAATAAGACAAAAGTGTCAGATGATGGATTCTAAAAGATCAACAAGAGTTGAAGTGCAAGAAAGGTTACCACTAAGAAACTGCCGCTTCCCCATGTAAGCATCTTCAATCATTTGATGTAGCATCGCAAGAGCACGCTCCCTATGTCCTTGCCGCTGGAAATCCTTTGATGAAGTATTTATCAGGTCTCCCGTTAAAAGAGCCTGAAGCACTGGAAACTTGTCCTAAAAAATGTAATTATTTCATGTAAATGAAGTATTACACAGACATGCAACTATGTGCATAACCAAGAACATTAAAATCAGAACTCTCTGTGTCAAAGAGCCAGATGTCGTGGTAGAACTTAATGCGACGTCTTTATGTAGCAATATAGTGGCAAACAATTTGCCTTCATATTAAGCAAAACAAGGATGGATAAGACAGATATTATGGCATCTCAAAAGGCTCGGAATCCCACAATAGGAGGGAGCATAGCTTGCAATTCTTTGATCATGTTGTACTTCCCTTCATCACTCATGAGTCATGCCAATCAAGAGACCAACAAAGGTTCCTATATACAGATGATAAATTCAAATATTTGTGTATGCATGTGTTCAGAGGTATAAGACCTCATGCTTCAGCGATAAGCACAAGACTATATAGTGATTGCAGCGTAAGAAACTATACACGCTTGCCCTGAAAAAGTCCATGTGAGTTATCATTGTATGGAAGGAAATTCAGACATGGCTACACACTTTGTTTAATAAAATACTATTGCAGGTGGTGAGCTGGCATATCAACTCTTAATCATATAATGGAAGAGTTCCATTTTTTGTGTCAACTGTTATTGGCGAGGTGTAAGCATACAGTAACCTTCCTTCACATTAATAGAAATGTTGGTTTCGAAAGGAAGTTAATTAAAGCCAGATAATATAAAATAAGGCTGTTCACTAGGAAAAGATACATGGCAGGAAAGTAATAGCAAATCAAACACCAACACTCCTTTCTTTAGCTATATGCCTTGATCGGTGCATAGTCTCTATTAGAATCATGATGCATTATCAGCCTTAAAAACAATAAAACTTAAGCATTTAGTCAGAAGTACTTGTCAGAGCTGAGAAGTGGTTTGTTTTAAAGCCACGAGCCAATGTTTTACTTATAGTAGAAAGATCTGTCTACAGATCTTCCTGCTAAACATAAAAATGAATTAAACGACACAGTACAGCAAACATCTTATGGTTAACAAATATATGCCACGTAAGTGGCTCTTACATGCACATCCAAAAGGAAATAGCAAAAACCGACCTGTTCCAACAATTCTTGTAGACGTTTGAGAAGACGCTTTGCGACTGAAATTATTCCAATCTCATAAATCTGATCCCAATAAGTAGCGCCTATCTTAGGAGCACGACCAGGATAGATCTCTGACAACATAACTTGAGCCTGTACGATCACAAGTCCAGGTACAATCAACTTTTTTTAAATATATGTTGACATAGCTAATGCTAAATAAACAGATCACCGCAAAAATCCATGCATTATCGTCATTTATTATCACAAACACCACAAAATTAAAACAGGCATTTAAAAGAAAGCAGCACTAACATAATGAGCAGAAAGATTGGGTGAAATTTGGAGATGCCACCCAACAGTTCTACTGTGATTAACAACCAACAATAAAGTCTTATAATTCTCTGCATTATACTAAGCCAAGTAACAAAGAGTGCCATATTAAACGGCCGATGTGCTTTGCAAATGTTTTGGGTTCTATAGTTTCTTGAAAATATACTGTAGGTCTTGTGAGAGCCGGCATCATATTTAGCTATTCCCATAAAAACAAGAACAAAAGAAATTACAACGGCACTACCATCAGTGAAGTGCTGCATTGGGAAGATGGTGCAGGGAGTGTGAATGAGACTCCTCGAGCATGCAAGGCCATGAAAATAGACATGTCACATTGAATCATTTATATAAGTGAGCAAGGTGTCACAGGGTTATGTTTATGACTTAACCACTTATGACGCCTTAGTACCAGCCGCAGAAATACTAAGTCAGCCTAAAAAAAGTGAAGAATGGATTTGGTTGGAAGAACAAACACAAGACTCTAGAAGGATTTGTAGAAAGTGTGTAAGAAGGCTTATTTATTACTTGGAAGCCAATTTTGGATTTTTGGATGGTTTATAAATGAAGGAGGGCACCACCTATTTTAGAGAGACTCCACCTCCTTGGGACATCCTATAATAACTCTCCAGGCTTACAAAAGATTTCTAAGTTCTACTGCAAAAACCTCCAAGACTCCATCCAATATAGACTAAATAGAGAATCCCACATGATACAACAGAAGCCCAATATAATGGAAAACTCTAGTATTTCCTAGAGAACTCAAGTTGTCTGCCTCGGTGGACGCTTTATTGGTGGTCAGTGGGTGTCATGCATGCATCTACAGGGCAGACACTGATGTGCCTCAACCTCGTGAGTATATGCAGCATGTGACATTCTGAACCACCTACAATTCATGACGCCCTCGTAATGATCTTTGCAGGATCACCCGCATCACTTTGCCTGTTCACCACGAGTTTGTATGATGGAAATTTTAAGCGTCTCACCTCATGGATGATGTAGTACAGGAGGATAGGATATGATTAGGCAATTTGAAGTCATTAACAAGCAAGCTAAGAGACTAGTTGACACCCACAGTAGAAAGAGAGTGAAGGTAATATCTGTCAATGAGACTAAACAGGTTGTGTTCTAAAAGTAGCTGCTTAGAGCTGCTCAAGTGGTCGCCTAACTTGTTAACCATCCATCTACAGCTTCCATCACTTGGGAAGCATCCTAAATTGCTTCAATTAACAACTAACCATTCCATTATGTGTTTCAAAAACAAAATGGGGTCTAATCAAACTTTCTCAAGTTGTCTTCATCAATCAAATTTTCTCAACTTAGAAGGTTTACATCCCTTTCTATGCAACTGTGTCAATAAAACATTGAATTAAGCATTCACATAAAGTAATTGTATGAAAATAACACAGTATCAAGATTTTATTTCCCATATGTCTATACAATCTAAAAATAATTGTTTTATATACTTAAATAAATCACATCTTCCCGTAAGGTCTTCTTAATTCTTGCTTATGCTATTTAGGGCAAAAAGGTCACTCAATCCCCTAGCTCCAACTTACGCCTTTTAGAACACTAATAGGTAGGTGATAAATATAACCAAATTAATAGCATGGTACTAAGTTTTCATAGAAAATATACAAGAGTAGGACTAACGAATATATTTTGATAGAAAAGAGCCTAGAGAATGCCAGAATGGTGTATAGTTGAGATCAAGATTCAAAAAGATAGAATTATTTTAGTCAACTGAGAATCGTTCAGGCATATGCCCCTGTGCCAGGCTCCAACAATCTAACAAATGACAATTATGGGAGGACCTAGAAGTAGAGGTTTTTCTTTTTGTTGTTTCAGACTTTCGAAGACAATACAAATTGAAATGCAGGTGATAGATTAGCATTAAAAACCATATAAACTTTGCATCAAGAATAGCAGATTCAATTATAATGCCTAAACGTATCTTTCTTGTGGAATGGAGGGATTAATTTTTCACTTGCCTGATCTAAAAGCTTATGGGACAAAGTTGAGGACCTTGAAGATGCCGCAGCTACATCGATACATAGAAGAGTCTAGCAGGAAGCATAAAAATGTAAGTTTGCATACCACACTTACAAATGTAGGTGTTTCAAATTTCCTTTGGGTCCACAACAAACCAAAGTGAAGAAAAATGAAATAGAAATAAAAATAACAGGAGAATATCATACTGCAACTAAAGGACCTAATTGAGAGCGAAGAGTGGAAAAATCTAATTCTTGGACAACAGAAGTTCCATCAGCAGCACGAGAAACAGCATCCGCAGCCTGCAGAATCACAAAAAAGAAAAGGCACTGTTGCATTAGCATTGGATTTAAAATTAAAAATGAACATATTATTTATTAGTTATCAAACAGTTGTAAATGGAAAGTGTAACTAAAAGCATGTGACAAGACACTGTATTCCTTCTGAAGCACTCATCAATGCTCAGCCATAAGTAGTAATCAACATCCTTATCAAACTACAAGTCATTTACGGATCAATCATACTTCATTTCACAAATAAATGCACACTTCAATAGAATTTATAATCGGGCATACGAGCCCACTATGATGATTATACATTACACCTAGACTTCAAATATCTCGGGGTAGTCCCTAAACATTTTCAATACATTTATCAATTTTCTTAAATAAATGTCATACAATATTCCGTCCTTATGCACACACAACACCAAGAGTGAAAATTAAAATAAGCCTTGAGCAGATTTAAAAATATCAATATCTTTTTTTCTACATTTATGTACACCTCCGTCGGTCTATTAATTGTTAAATGTTGCTTTCTTGGCCATTTCAACTTGTTTAGTGCCTTTACCAATATATTCAATCTCTTATCTTCTTAGGAAGATTTTTTGAGAGGTCAATCTACATATAGTCAATGCAAACACTTTAGTGGATGTTTCCTTTTAAATTCTCGAAGACTGATGTTTCCTTTGGTGAACTAATCTATCATATCTATCAATATGCAAATAAAACAAAAGCATTGAGTTAGTAGCACATGTAAAATAACATAACAAAATTTCATGCAAAAGTACTGGTAATTAATATAGTCACCAGCTAGGTACATACAGATGCTCTCTTAAAGGCTCCATCCACCCATTCAGCCAGTTCAAGAGTTGCTTTATCTTCTGGAGGTAGGGAAAAACGGTTGACAGCCTCTTCTCCAATGTCATACTTTGCCCTCTGCATGCAGCTGAATAATAAATAATGGTCAATCTGCAACTTAAATTCAATAAGTCACTGTATCCCATTCAAAGAAGTAAATACATTTGAAAAATTATAGACACGTTTCAACCACCAAAGCATACCAACAGTCTTTCATGCTTTGCTTGGTTAGCTAGATTATGTGCACTTATCCTTAAAGATGCAATTTAGGATCTTCAGATTTGTGTTAAACACAAGAAAAACATCTTCTAACTCCTTGAACCATTATCTGTTAATGATCTCTTCACAAGATGATTTCCGTTTACCATCATGGTTCTCCATTAGATTTTCTAATCTCAAACCATGCATGATAACTAAAGAAATTAAAGAATATCGTTAACACGTCTCCATGCTCCATTGATCCTTGCTGAATTTGTTTTAGCCCTGTCAAACCAATCCTAGAAAGTTGAGGATTGATTGATACTTCCTAATGGTCAAGAGACTGTAGTCAAGGACAAGCACATGCAGGTTTCTGCATAACCTTGTCAGAACCTTGTGACCTTCAACGACACTTGCTAGGCCTGGCCTCGCAACTGCCATGCCTAACCTGCACCAGCACATTCTGGACTGGCGTGCATTGATACTAGTCTGAGCTCCCATGGCCCTAGCCACCATTTACCAGATCTCCCCTAATTTCAACTAGAACCTGATGAATCCACACCCTATAGAAACACCTTTAGGAAAGGGTTGTGTAGACGAGCGATTGAACACAATTACACAAGTCAACAAGAGCCAGAATAATCATACCAAAGGGCCTTTGGCCTAGCGGTATGTGAGTCATTGGCCTCCTAGGAGGTCAAGGGTTCAAACCTCACCGAATAGGAGGAGGGTGTGTGCGTTTTTTTGTTCTATTTGCCGTCTATAAATATATTATAGTTCAAAAAAAAAAGAGCCAGAATACCCGAGATGATAAACCTCCTACGGAAGTAAGATTACAAGATTGTCATCATGTTGTCAATCCCCCGTCGGATTTTCCTATGTGAGAGCACTTCCAGCTCCAGGAGCTCACTATATACATATATACTATATATAAGGTCAAATATTTCATAGGAATCTTCCTTTTCACACAGCAAGAAGCCTGTGAACGCTACAAGCATAAGACATGGACAACTACCTATATAAAGATAACTAGAGATGAGAAGATAGCTTCTTGGTGGTAAACAATTAACGTCTATTGATAATACACCAGGCTGCATTGCATTCCATAAGGTCATGATACCATTGTTATAGGCCTCCCCAATCATCATAAGACATGGACAACTACCTATATAAAGATAACTAGAGATGAGAAGATAGTTTCTTGGTGGTAAACAATTAACGTTTATTGATAATACACCAGGCTCCATTGCATTCGATAGGGTCATACTGATACCATTATTATAGGCCTCCCAATCATCAGCTCCGATTTGGTTGGTCGGATATTTGTTTTAATGTAGGAAGCATTACGGTTATGGTTATAAGCCCTGGTTTTCATACCACATAGATTGAGGTTTGAATGAATGATGCACACTAAAAGAGAGCCTTGCGTGGAGGATATGAAGTGGGTTGATGTACAAGATAACAGAAAAGGGAAACCCTCAACATAACAAACCTAACATAACAGATTATATTTGCTTAGATTGAAGGTGCATACTAACAGATGCAAAAACATTAGCAAGAATGGAACTCTTATTTTCCAGAACAGTAAGAATCTGGTCATCATACATGAGCCTCCTTCACCTTCCCTCCTTACTACACCATAATTTCCTAAACTCTCAAAAGCCTGAAATCATCTAATAACTTTTTCTGAATCAGGAAATTATCTGTAACCATGAACCCTGTAATGTGACAGGAAATCCATGTGCACATCCTTCTTAACTAGAGTACAAATGAAAGGAGTGTGGTTGTGAGAACACGTAGATTGGATTAACAGTCTCTTTGGGACTTCTACTTATAATTTTTAACGTGGTTATATGTAATCATAATTTGAAAGGTATATGCATATGTTCACATAGCCCATATGAAATGAGTATATACAAGCTGAGCCCAAGCCTAAGTTTTCTGAACTAGGTAAACCACAACCCCACAAGCTGAGCCAAGTCTACAAGTTTTTTCATGATCCAAGCAAGCTCCAGATAGGGCTCAAATACATCTTAATTTTCAACGATGAACTACCGTTAAGAAGTGTGCACGTATACATAAGTATGAATGTAGGATACATAGAAAGTCAGTATCATTCGCAATAGTTTCACAAATATCACAAAATACTTCGCCCGCTCTACAATGAAAAACTTGTTAACCAGTGCTTCCACAAGTAAGACAATAAGATACACATAACTTGATATTTAAATGGTATAAATGATATTCAATTATCGCTAAGTCAAACTCACAGATTCAGTAGCTTAGATGGGGCTGCACGTAGTATAGTTGATGCCTCCTCCCATTTCCACTGACGGTCAGACAAGGGAAGAAGGCTTTGCAAGATTGATAAGCGCCATTCCCAATCTTCAATGAAGGATCTTGCCTTTGAGATTCTCCACTCTAAAGCTCGTCTCCCATCAGTAGGCACATTTCCATCCACTGCAATCTCCTCTTCAGTAACAGCTGCAGGTAGATTCTGCCGCAATATATTAAGGAGCCGCCCTGTGAAGGATACGACCATGGTATTCCCTTCTTCATTAGTGCAGGGGTCAGCACTTTCCCCACTATAGGTGTTGGACGTATCAGGTTGTCTCCTAGGTGGTGGACATGGCGATAAGTCGCAAGAAAGATCATCCATATGCAAAAGTGAGATAACAATGTTCACCATCATTATCTGCATCATTGAAAGCGTTATATGATTCACTTAGGTTTGTCAAAATATATGATATTATTGAGAGCAATATTGATGATAACACGACTAAAGTATGACCATCAAAAGGTTAGAGTAGACAATGGAATCTAAAACAAAAACGATATTGACGATCACAGCAAAAAAGTGATTGGGAACGGTAGAAGAACTTGCATCGTTTCCTGTCTATGACGGATGACGGCATCAAAGACATCGAATTTTCATTTCAAAATTTCAAATAATTATCAACAAAATGGGTTCAGTCCGGTTATTATTAGAGAACTTCGTTGGTGCCAACATGGAAGCTTTGTGTCATTGTGCACAAAAATCGTGTATGGTTGAGCCGATGCCTCCTTGAAAGGATGTAAATATAGGGAACATGGAATAAACAAACTATGGAAGGTGATATATGTGTGCAGCCATTCTGGCGTTAGAGGCTATCGACATTGGAGAGCTTATCACCAGATTGAATCTTTGGGGCATCACCAAACTTGTGCTCTTTGAGATCATAAATTGAGGATTAGACTCTTATCTTCAATTAATAGTGCTTTTATTACTATTTCTTCAACCATTCATTGCAGGAAGTCTGCCAAAAAAGGGTGATAAGTGCCCATGGGGTACTGCAACTCTTTGTGGGCATGAGCAGCTCAGGTGAACTCCTCAAGCAAATGTACACAAGTTCCAAACTTCATCCAAGCTACCATAGCATATACCATGTGAATCTGCCAGGCACTGAAAATGTCTCTTCATCTATGTGACACTCTACTTAGTTCCAAGAATAGCAGTACTTGTGCCTTCCCCTGTATCCCAATAACACAAGAAATCTAGCCTAAATGTAATTTATCTTCAAAAGCCATCCATACATTGAATTCCTGCTTTACGAAATATCAAGCATGATAACATATTTACACCAACTGATGCATTTCAATGTCCTTGATCTTTCCTAATAGTTCGAACTCATCTCTGCAATATTCATTCTGTAAAATACTCTCAATCAATGTCCTAGTGTTTTTTGAATTAATAAATTAATATAAAATGTTTCTGAGGAATGATTCATCATCAATTGTCAGGTATCAAAAACATGGAGATAGCATTGAAAAAATAACTGTTCCTGAATCCAACAAAGAGCTACTTGATCCATTATATTACAAAATTTAGAATTTGGTCCTAGAAAATCCATATCAACACATTATAACCTGTAGAAAAGAGGGCTGCAATTTTTTGTATATTGAAAGAGAATACAGCATAGATATTTGTACAAGAAAAGGAAAAACCTAAATCGACTACAAGGAAACACAATTAAAGGAATCCTAGAGAATAATAAAAACTCTTAACTAAGGAAAGATATAGAACCTGTAGGAAATAGTGTACAGATAAATTGAGATTTCAACATAATCAAATCATAGCAGTACACATTCCACCGACTTATTTAAGCACATCATTACTAGTCAAAGGCAAATTGACACTTTCCAGCAACTTATTTCAGTTGCAAATGATCCCAACCTTCTAGTTTTGGGTGGATCGAGGTGCAGTTTGAGGGAAACTTTTTAAATCAGAGAAGGAGAAGGAAGCAGAGAGAGAAATGAGAAAGTACACACGTGTGTTTAATTAAAGAACAAGCTGACCAAAGATGATTATCTCATTTTCTGTAATAAGATGCCATCAGACTAAGCAAAGGACCCACAGATATGCCTAATGAAGAAGAGACTAAGAAACAACCTTGCGTGGAATGTTGTTGATGGCCTCCAAATGGATACTGAGGTCTTTCAAGTAACATAATGCCATTTGATAGCTTTTAACTTCATTATTCTTACTGTTCCCCATAGCTCCAAGAGCAAAAACAGCAGATTCCATGGCATAGCGCATGTGCATGAGTTCAACATCTTTCATCCTGTGAAACACATAACAAAACCACAACAAAAAAGGGTATTATACACACATATAGGCATGTGACCAACTGTTGAGTTTATATAACAATTATATTCACCTGTCCTTATCCATTACATATGCCACACAAATTAGAATGCAGAGATTAAGCATGCACTGCTAGCACTTGATCTTTAAACAAGCACTCTGATTCAACTACCATATATGCAATAATTGAACAATAAAATAAATATAAAACAGTAACTGAGAATGATACTTCCCCTAACCTGATGTGATAGAGACTCGTTCCTAAGACATATAAGAAATTGGATGCTACCTTTTCCAGGCTGCTAAATTAGAGGTGATTGGTTGCATGCTAAATAACTCGATAGCTTCTTGAAATCTTATGTCTGGAACTACATCAAACAAAACCTGCACATACATATAAGGAAATTACCTCTCAAGTAAAATAATCTCAACAAGCATTTTAATTCAAAAAGTGGATTTATCAGCTTACAGTTGGGCGTGAACCCAACAGGCTTCCTGAACCATTAAACTAAACATATGAATGAACAAAAAGATTGGCCAAACATGAGTACAAAGAGCACAGACATTATCATTAGAGTAATACATAACCAGTTAAAGAAGCAATATATAGAGTCCAACTGTTGCATTTAGCACTCAGCTTTATGGCATACCAAAAACTAATTTCTTCTCCAGCAACTTAGTAAACTTTACCCCTTCCCAAGAAAAAACCCCATCAAGTTAAGGCTGTAGATTGCCATTTCTCCTATTATGCCCTTAAGTTTATTACACAATTAAATATGCCAATTGACTACTGGGGATTAGGACGCTTTTGGAAATTATGGAAGATGAAGTTTAGTTTGTTAAGTAAATAGAAATGATTTAAATAATCATATATTGTAAGACAAGACTGTACAGTTCATGAGCCAAAAAGGTATTCCCAATAGCTTTTGCACATGTAGCACGTACACAGTTTCAAATTGTAACAAAATACCAGGAAGACAGTCTGTGCTCATTACGTGGAGATACCAACATCTAGTGATAAGAGTGTGAATAGCACAGACAGCCTAGTAACAATCAACATGGCCAAAAAGATGGTCACCGCTATATGTAATTGAGATTGAGATAGAGCATATGAGAGATGGATAGGATAGATTCACATGGCATGTCTAACAGACCTAAGAGCATCCCTAAATGGTTTATGAAGTTTGTCAGGGCTACCAAAGATTACTTCGCTTAAGGGCTGAAAATGAAACTTAAACATCAAATTCTAATGCAATGTGTGAGCTGGGTTAGATGAACACCACATGAGGGTGCAATGGCTTGGGTGGTACAAAAAGAATATGCAAGTCTCTTTTATTTACATAGTTGTAGGTTTGGATATACCTGAAAGGCTGAAAATTCTTGTTACTTTCAACATTTTGGGCTAAAACAATTCAAATTTCCTTCAGGAACTCTCTTTAGACAAAATTACTACAAGTTCGATGATGCAATCACGAAGAACAAGGTACAGGACGGTGATGCACAAGGAAATGACTTTGAGCACATCTTGAGCTCTTCTCTAGACAAATAACTTTAAAGAGATGGTCGGAATATTATAAAATGAGTTAATTAAGTGGCTATAAGTTTGGAGTTGATTTTGATGATGCAAGTATGAGCATGTCTAAAAATAGATGACAATCAATGGATGAGACTTGATTGCAATAGTTTCCATCCTAGAGATGGAGCTTTCATGATCATTTTTATGTCATCCCATAAGTTTTTATAATCTTCCTACAAACCCCATAGAATAAAAGTATAAGTAGAGTTGTTTTCCTCTATGTTGTACATGTTGCTGTCCAAATTGCTCTTTCTTTTGGAGATGTAATGTGGCAAGGCATGTCAGTGGAAGTGGATAGAGAGCATTAAGCAGAGGCATAGTAAAGAAATAAAGCGATTATGAAACATGTAGGCAAATCTAGATTTCAGTATTATACTTGTGAAAATGCATGCATTGTTGTTTTATTAATTGTGCTACACCACTAGAGATACCTTGCAGTTAAGAGATTTGCCCATGCCAGCATGCTAGTTTGGGATTGGATTTCAACGTCACTTCCTTTTCAACTAAATGTACTCCCTTTCTTATTTGAAGGGTCAAATTAGATGCCTCTTTTCAAAATTGAATTAATGAAAGAAATCCCTGCTAACCTCTGGGCATGATGCTCTTTTTAAAACCTTCCTGTTAAACCCTCCTCCTTAGTGCTCTTTGGGACAGCTAATTTCAACTTCTGCCCAAATAACCACAGACGAAATATGGAGCCCAATGCCAAACAACTAGGCTAGTCTGAAAAAAATTGTCTATGGGGCTAGATTATAGCTAGCCACTAGTGCCTGGTCTCACGACCCTAGTTCATTGAGTCTGGATACAACGCCTAGAAGTTCACCAAGAAAGCAGTCTTCTAAGAAAGATAAAAGAACATCCTAGAAGACACTAGAATCCTCTAGGTCAATATGGTGTTCTCCATAGTTCTCTAGAGACACTTATATCTTGTGGAAGCTCCATGATACTTCTAGACTAAGAAACAATGTAGTATGGGCTAAAAGCTTCCTTGATCTAGATGCTACCTAGGAGGGGGGGAGCTCCCTATAAAGGGGATACCTCCTCATTTTGGAACCGTCAAGTGAGAAAGTGTATCCAAGAAAGGTGCACGGTTCAAGTGTTGTTCTTCATTGTCTTCGAGTGTTCTTCACAAAAATCTAGTGTTCATCTATCAAGGTTTACTTAGCACATTAGGCTTAAACGCTGGAACTAAGGCCGCCCAGAGCTTGGGAAGAATACGTTCGTGACAGTAATCTCTAGTACCTCCTCGCGCCCTTTGACACGTTGGTCCCTACATGGTTCAAAGGTTGCAAGGCTAAATAATTTGTTCTTCCTGCCAATATTAGGAGCATTAAATTGTTTCATAGTTGGTACCGCAACTGCACGACAACAATCTGATAAGAGTCGATAAAAGGTTGCCAAGATTAGAGTATTAAAACCCTACAGCTATCGAGATGTTGCAGTCTCTCCCTATTCAATTATAAAGAATTGAATTATAATAAATTGATCCATATTCCAAAAAGGTAAATAAATAAGGTATTTAAACCAATAAGTAAAAAACTCCTAGAATAAAATGGATTCTAAAGAAAAACCATTAAAATAAACATAAGATAGTTATATGTAAACTTGAGGACTTATGACTTATCCAAGACTTGCTTTATCTTATCTTATTAATATGCCCTCCTCTCTTTCCTTCTTGAATATGTCTTTATACTCTGAAGTCTATCAATACCCCCCCCCCCCCCNGCAAGACTTGCATCTTGTCCTCAAGATGAAAAGAAGGAAATTGCATCTTCAACACTTCACAATCTTCCCAGGAGGCTTCAAACAAAGGTAAATTCTTCCATTTGATTAATGCCTCTTGTCTCCCATCTGATTAATGCCTCTTGTCTTCCATCCTGTGTTGTTCGTACTTGTAGGATATCTTCCGATTTTACTATCATTTCCATATCGGCATTCAATTGATTCGGCAATATGGTTGACGACGCACACTGTCCAATTGCTCTCCTCAATTGAGAGACATGAAACACTGGATGGAGTCGTGTAGATGCTGGCAATTCTAAGCGATAAGCCACCCTTCCCACCTTGCCTAACACTTAAAATGGTCCATAAAAAAGCGCGGACAGCTTTTGGTTGTTGCTTTTCCTTAAAGATTTTTGTCGGTAAGGCCTAAGCTTCAAGAAAACCATATCTCCAACGTCAAAATTTACCTCATTCCTATGACCATCAGCCTGTTGTTTCATTTTGTGTTGTGCTTGCATTAAGAACATTCGTAGCAAATCAATTGCATCATCTCTGTCTTTTAACATTAGCTCCACAGCTGGAACAACGGTTGAGCCTTCTTTAAATTGCAATATTGTTGGAGCATCTCTCCCATATAATGCTTTAAACGGTGAACAACGAATGGAGTTGTGATACATGGTATTGTACCAATATTCAGCCCATGCCAGTCACCTCGTCCATAGTCGTGGCTTGTTTGACGGCTCAATGCTGCGGTTGACAAGTTCCTGTCCGTTGGACTGTGGATGATATGCAATGGTGAACTTTAACTTCGTACTTTGTAATCAGAAAATCTCCTTCCAAAAACTGCTAAGAAAAACCTTATCCCTATATGTGATCACCGAGTTCGGAATGCCATGCAGTTTCGGCTACCGTTGCTGCTAAAAATGGGTGTTTTAACGGAATGAAGTGAGCGTATTTGCTTAACCGATTGACTACCACCATAATTGTATGCATGCCCTCCGATTTTGGTAGTCCTTCTATAAAATCCATAGTCAATTCCTCCCATACCATTAGTGGTAGTGGAATTGGTTGCAACAAGCGAGCAGGTGTTCCACTTAAGTTTTTATTTCTTTGACAGACCTCACACTTCTTGACCCATTCCCTTATATGTAAACTTGAGGACTTATGACTTATCTAAGACTTGCTTTATCTTTATCTTATTAATCTTCCCTCCTCTCTTTCCTTCTTGAATATGTCTTTATACTCTAAAGTCTATCACAATCTTATTAACCCAAAGTAGATAGCATACAAAAAAAATGAACAGTCGGTTTAGATATGGTGAAAACCAATTGAAAATATTGAGAAGTGGGCCATCCTAGGGTTTCTGGACATTGATGACATCCTCTTATGCACCGTTATGTAAAGCCAACTCCTTTTTGGTTTTATTCCACTCATTCAAATATCTCTTCACTACTCCCCAACCCAAAATGTCAATCTTGGAAGAACACCACCTCTCATAAGCACCTCTTAGTTCAAGTACTCTCAAGTCTCATCTAAACCTTAGCATTCAAATGTCTACACTGGAAATGAACAAATGACTCAAGTGAGGTTACCACAGCTTCTTCTCAACCAATGTCATCCCAAACTTCTCTTGTATATTTACATGAACCAAGCTGTGAGAAAGACTTTTTGAGTAGCCTTCCAGTTTAATTCATATTCTCTATCTGTTGATGTGCAGCCACACATCCACCTCAACATGACCCTCTTACTATATTACTTTACATCATACCACATCTAATCGTTGTATTAAACTACTCTCTCAAAGGTGCAACAGGTACGCTAACAATTATGATGATTTTGGAACTTTATGCAAAAAGAAAGGAACGCTAAAGTGCAACATAGTATTTCATGAAATTGACTCCTATCTTGGCATTCAATCTCAATGATCGTCTCTTAGCTTCAAGGATTTCCTTTTTCCACTCGTGTACTACTCCATATTGCAGGGTGAACACAACTTAACAGAAAATGAGTCTTGAATTATTACCAGGAAAGATACTTCTACAAACTAAGGACGAAAAAATAAACCACCAAGCAAGCAGAATGCATAAAACATGTCAACGTCCTAACCCATTTTCATCTCAATGTGCACATATAATTTGCTAGAGCAGCATGTAGAATTCAGGGAGACAAAGTGCCTTAAATGACCAACAAAGTTTACAGTCTTACTCGAAGGGGGCTATGGATTGATAATCTTTCCAGAACAAGATTTTCAACAAATGGGTCCAACTGGAAATCTTCATTTACAAGTTCCGTATGCCCTTTCCCAGACAAGAGTAATGATGATTTCAAACTCCATGATTGTCCAGAATTTACACATGCAACAAAAGAAGCCAGATCAAGTTGGTAACTTAGGAAGTCACAAAGATGTTCAACAGCAGACACCTGCCAAAAATAAACAAGTCATACTTGACGTTTGGGATTTACCAGCTGCAGTATAAACTGATTCATATGAAGCGAGAAGCCGAGAACATGTTAGCTTAAATTTGGAAGGAAAGAAACAATACCTCGTTTGATTTATCATAGAGAGAAGATTCTTCCAGCCTGAGAATTTGTGATTTACTAGTCCAGAAAAGCTGCATCAACTTCCTTCTCATATCTGTTTTCCCAGACAAAAGATCCCAACCCATAACAGCTACAAGAGGTTGAAGTCGGGGGTACAACAAAAGAATCTACAACATAAATAGAAATGGGACTTATAAGAGTACTATAAAGTCATTTTTTATGGCTTTCTTAGGGATTCTAGCAAAAGATAAATTATTAACCAGCAACTGTAAATGTTAAATTAGATCGCAGTAATTGATCTTAGCTTAAATTATGAGTTTGAGGAAATTTAAATGGGATAATTTTAGACAGAAAAGGAGGGCACATACGTTGCTAGCTTCTTGAAGTTGTTCCCTCTTGACAGCAGAAAGAGCAACATCCATGACACATTCAAGTACATGCAACCCTGATATACGAGCATAATGATACATGTCCCTCATGCATGCAGAGATCACCAACTTAATTGACGATGTATGGCTGCCTTGGGTCTCAGGTGTCATCTGCGCAATAAAATTCAAAAGCTGTGCAAGAGGGGGTGGAACCTGGTTGCCATTCAAAACTTTATGCATCTCTATTTCTTCAGAGAGCAATTCCTCCTGAATGGACTGCAAAAGGCACATCCTGATGAAGTTTCTAAACGCATACCCACTAAAATAGAATTGTTGACAACCACAGAACTTGCACCCAGTTCAGGCGTTAAATCATATTGCAGAGGTAATAGATATGCTACAAACCCCAGAACAGGCAAGCATGGGTAACTGCTGCTCAAGTATCCAGTCAAGCATAATGGTGCCCATGCTGGAGCAAAATAATGCATAAATTTCCAGGAAAAAACATAATTGTAATGCCAGTAAATGTATTAAAAAGAAGGGACATAATGCATAAACAAGGAAGAAACTATAAATAGCAAGTTTTTCTGCTCAAGAACCTAACAAGCACTGTAGTAAAAAGCAAAGAATAAGCAAGAGATAGAATTGCATAGGGGATCAAGGAATTGCTCTTTATACATAAGCATGCACACAAATGTTTACATAAAAGTAGGAACACAATCAAGAAGTCATTAACTAACAAGCTCCCATGATAGAAGCTGAAGATGGTAATTTTTTTCCAAGCTAATGCCACATATGTTACAACAGGTATCATAGCACAATGTAAAACAATCTCTAGATATATTGAAAAGGCATGTTGCATCTTGTACCTACCTACATAAGTTCTCTTTATATATTGTATAAATAAATATGAAATTGTTCGGCACCTTCGCTCGCATATGTACATTCCGTTGTTAAAGTGCTCCTATAATGGTGTTCAATTCAAAATTGTGTAATTATTCAGGAGGGCGCTTGTCCTGGTATGTAGTTTGGAGATAACAGCATCCAGGCAATCTTTGAGTAGATCCAGACTATATAAAAGTCAGTTGAATAAAAATTTAAAACCAATCAGCCTCCAAGTTGAAACTTTGTGCACCATATACCCCCTCTTTTTCCAGCTTTGTAATGCTTTTCTTCCCTTTAAAAGTGTGTGGATTAAGCTATAAACAACTTAAAAGTTATTTCCCACCTTCCCCCATATATCCCCTCCTATCTCCTGTTATTCCTCTCACATCTTCTTGCATCTCAATTACCTCGTTTTGCATCTTCACAAGAAGCTATTGTCTTATGTAGTAATAGATGTACAGAGAATTATCAGAGCCAATGCCATATACATACAATTGAAGAACCTCTTTTTAGCCAAAATAACACTTAATAGGCAGCTCATGATTCCTGCTGTAATTCCACTTGATGTATATGCCATGACTTGTAGCAATAAGTGAATGAAAGCAAACATGCAACGCATGAGATGTAAAAGCAGATCAACAACAGGCCATTTATCCCAAAGTAGTAGGGGTAGATGAAAAGTACAGCAGTATATTACAAATGCTTGATAAGGAAAAGCATCACACCTGTATCATGTGAACAAGACGTGTGGAGTTTGATGAGAGTGCTTTCTCATATATCGACAACAATTTACTTCGCATGGCAAGCCAAGTGTCATCATAGGCCACCATCCCCACCAAACCCCTCTTAACGAGATCTTGCAAAACCATGCTATTTAAACATCACAAAGGATTACAAATAAATAACTAACACAATTGACAAAGGCCATCACTGAATCATACTATTAATGCTGTAGGATTGAAGAAAAAGAAACAGAGACAATATAACCAAGATCTATGCCAACTTAATTTATTATCAATAGTGAACAAACATAACACATAAACATTTAGAACATAACCCGTCTGCCACCGTGATACTTTTGTTTTCCTTTAATAACACAAACATTTAGAGCTTAACCCGTCTGCCACCGTGAAACTGTTGTTTTCCTTTAATAACACATAAATATTTATAACTGATCAGGGTGATAATGCCAAATGATCAGGACGAGTTGCTGTAAACTTGGTGGGGGTGAATGTCATGGTTTGTCTAGTTTAGGTAATGTCGTGCCTCCCTAGTTCATGTTGGACGTGTGTTGGATTGTTAGCAAATATTCTGCAGGAGACATCTTCTTGTTTAGATTATCTGGGAACTCTTGAGTTACTGGTCATATTCAACGATATTATTGTATGATGTAAATTTCTCTAGAATTCTCCTGATGCTGAGATTATAACCTAGATATTTCTTGGTAATACCTAAGAAGTTCCTAGTCAAATATCCTTGTATCTAGGTCTCTCCTTAAGAAGGTGGATACTCCTGTATAAAGAGGAAGAAACCCTCATTCATGATCATCCCACTTAAAAACTACAAGCAGCTCTTCATAGAATTCCAACTTTCATTCATTGTAAACCTTGTGTATTTTTCACCCACGTCCTTTAGCAAGTGAGTCACACTAACCAAACAAGCTAGGTGTTAATACAACATAGTTGCTTAAGGTAAAATACTAGGAGCACAATAACCACCGCCAACAATCACATATTAATCATCAAATAGGTTATGCCTTTACTCGGTTATGGTACAATTCATTTTTGTAACCTACAAAGAACAAGTCACTGTCCAAACAATCTTGACAAACGCAATAAATAGTTAAATACCTTTACTTTTTTTGTTTGATAAGTTGAGCATACATACCTCCCCCCCCCCAGCGGGACTGTTTGAATAAGCTTGGTAAGGTACAGTCAACAATGACTTCATGGATTGTCATAACCATAGCAGCCACTAAACCCACCATGTAATCTACATCTTTTGAGCTTCCTCCCTAGTTAGAAAAAGGGATACTTTACCCACAAGGTACTGGTCAGGCTGTTGAGTACTCACTTGAAGTTTAATGATAGATGGAAATAAAGGTTTGTTATTCCGATGTATTAGCTTCAGTTAACTCATTTTGCTCTTACATAATGGAGGGGTAAATTTATATAAATAATCTAAGGAAATCTGATCATGAAGAATGATTACAAACCCACCTGGATATAATATTTATGTAGTCGGTTGATATAACCTATGACCCAATGGGATACAAATTCTCCTTCACATTCAATATTTTTTATTAAGTGCTCTATCATAAATTAGAGAGAGAGAGTATGAAATCATCTAGCGCAGTGCATAAAATAAAATTCTATTGATGAACATAAAACTGCAAATAGGAAAGTCAATCCTAAAAGAAAATAGTCTCTTTAGGCATACCGGTAATCAGCTTCCTCCACCCCATGATCAAGGCGAAGAAACTGGATATGAGACACAGCTCCATTATGGTCACCCTCCTTCAGGCATTCCTTCATGACATCCAAATGCACCATCTGCACACATCTTTGTATCAATTTAAGAGCCTTAGCATCCTCCTCTTGAACAGTCAGCGAAATAGCCAAACCTGAATCATCACCACCATCATTCTCTTGAACCCGTTTGACCTGTTTTGCTATATTCTCACACAGTGCCTCAAAGATAACAGCATTTTCCAAAATTACTCCTCTCAAACCCATCATTTCACTTTCTTCCATCTCTAGAGAGCCACCAGAAGTCCCTTCTTCTTCACTCTCTCTGACGTCCAATTCAACTAAATCTGGCCTCAACCTCTTAAACCCCACCTCTGAAATCTTATTCAGAACTTTCAAACACTCCTCAAGATCCCAATACTTAGTACTAGTAACACTTTCTTCACTTAAGTGCCCAGTCCCCGAATCAAAAGTATTAATACCCATTTCGCTGGTATCCCCTTTTGACTCGCTAAAGTGCTGTTTCGAATCAAATTCGCTAATACCCGTATCCCCGCTCGACTCCTTAAGCTTCTCTTGTGAACCATAATCATTAATACCCATTTCATCCCTTTTAATTGAATCAAGATGAGCAATATCCATTTGATTGTGACCTAAATTATTCTTTTCTTTCTGAATTTCCAAAACCCTAGACATAATATTCTGAACATAAAGCAAGAATTCAGCACGCAAACGCAACGTATCCGAGTCAAAGCTCCAAACCAGCGACGTAGGATCATTAAATTGGAGGAGTTCAAGGGTACATACATAAGTAAGAAGAGCAGGGGAAGAGTTGGAACTAAAAAGAATAGTCTCGTAACGGCCACCATTCGCTACAATTGTTTGGAGGATAGAACGGGCTAGGTCGGGGTCTCGAGATCGGAGAGCGAGGATGGTAGCTCGAAAAGGTTCGATTTGACCCAAGAACAAATGGTTTGCTGCAAGACGAGCCAACAGGTCTGTCTCCATGCCTGTATCTTGCGGTCGCGGTGCCATCGCTGCTTGTGAGCTATAGATACATCTGGGTAAAAGGTAAACTGGATTAATACAGATGGGAATGGAGGAACAAGGATGAACGATGAAGTTGAAGAAGAAAAAGAAAGAAAGAGAAGAACGTTGAAAAGGGTTTATATAGTTAGTGACACCTTGGAAAGCTAAATTCCGTATCCATGTCTCTAGAGAACTTTATTTCCCCTTTCTTTTGATATCGTTGTCTTTGATTTCAAGAATCATATCATATTTATGGACATCATATCAGACATATCTATTTACCGCATAAAGAAAATAAAAAATAAATTTTATATTAAATTAGATGTTTATCTGTTTTCAAGTAATCAGATGATACTAGAAATTTAATGATATCGTATTTTTATTATTCGATGATTACATGTAAAATATTCTACTGATTAATATCTGAAATGTGATATATCTCTACTAATTACTATCTGACACACATGTTTTATTAGTGGTTGTTGAACACATGCTAATCATCATTGTACTATAGATGAAGTAGTGGAACTCTAAGAACCGTATAGCCATTATTATCGCCTATCAGCTCTCGGTTATATGATGGAATCACCAATCACTAGCTTCTTGTGGTTCTTGAAATTGCTCCAGCTCATGGTCAAAAGAAACAATGGCGTCCTTCTGTAAGTTTGTCTGTGTAGGAATCAGTCCAAAGAGTGTATGAATGGAACATAGAGAATAAATTTGTCTGTGTAAGAATCAGTCCAGAGAATATTTGAAAGGAACATGGAGAAACGGAAATATTGTTGAGGTATGTGTTAACCGAAACCGATTCATGAGATTAGCAAAATGTGTCTGGACTTTTTCTGGTCGACTGGTGGTGCATTCGTGTTTGCAGGATGTGAGCTTACGCACAAGTTCAGTTAGCTGAAGCCAATTTCGAATCCGCACTCATAAACACACCCCATCAATGTATCGTCGCGTCGAAGTACCCAAGAATTCTCCCGAATCTTCTAAGTCAAAACCCCATCTATCCGCAACATCTCTTGTATTAAACGCGATCAAAACCGATAAAAGAACCAAAAGTTATTCGCATCCCCCCACCCCCGGTTCACGCCTCCAAACCGCCACCCACCCGTTTCCTTGAAAACGGTCACTTACTAAGCAATTTGTTGTTGTTCCAAAGCATATAAACGAGAAAAACGAAACCTGTAAAACGTGATATCCAATCCATCTATCATGCCAAAATAAAAGTCTCCTTGCCCTTCCCAACCATTTTTAAAAGTATTCTTCCAATAAAATAGATCTCAACAACTCGAAAAAATTGATAATCCCGTTCCAAACTCCCTTCCACTCACCCCTTTAAGAATTTGTGTGTAAACCTCCGTTGGACTTTGATACCATGAAAGCTTTGATAAATCTAACCCATAGTGCATCTTTTTCTACAAAAAGCGTACATTGCCAATTTATCAATAATGCATGATTGAAAGCAACAAAATTTCCAATCTCCAAGCCATCGGATTCTTTTGAAGTTAATACCGTCTTCAGTTTCACCCATGAGATTTTTCAGTTTTCATCATCTCCGTCCCATAAAAACACAATCTTAAACTCTCAAGAATTTGTAACACCCCTTATTGTGCTTTAAAAAGAGAGAAGTAGTACGTACCACGACTTCCAATAACCGATTTTATCAAAGTCAAACGACCCCCTATAGAGAGAGTTTTTACTTTTCGAGAGGGTAATTTGGCTACAAAACGATCAATACTTTTCTTCTAGCCCCTCCTTTTTATTCATACTTTTACCCCATTGGAAGCCCGAAATACAAAAAAGAAAATGTAACCGGTTTGCACCCTTCAAATATGTGTCATGATTGCGATTTCTTGAGAGGGAACCCCCATACCGAACAAGTTACATTTGACAATATTGATTTTGAGGCCCGATAATAAGAAAAGACAACGAATAATGAGAATAATACCTTTCGCGTTTTCTCTTCACTACTCTCCTATAAAAATTGCGTTATTTGCAAAGAAAAAATTAGATACAAAAAGTTATGAAAAGCCCACTTGCGCCCCCCTTAAAGACACCATTTGCCATCACCTCTTCAAGTGCTACGTGTAACCTCTCGATGGCAATTATGAAAAGAAAGGGTGATAAAGGATCAACTTGTTTTAAGTCCCCTTTTGATAGGAAACTCCTTGGCCGGTGACCCGTTAACAAGATAGATGTCATAGAGGATGATAAACAATCATGGATCCAATTACACCACTCTCCACCAAAACCCATATGCTTTAAAACATCATACAAATATCCTAATCAAACGAATCGCGATCTTAAAAATCATAAGCTTTCGCTACAAAAATTTATAGTTAGCTAAAAGTTCATTTACCATCAATGAACCATCCAATATTTGTCTACCCTTCATGAACGCGCTCTGTTCCTTGCTAATTGCCTCATCCATCGTTGAGCTCAGTCTATTCGCCAATAACTTTGCTATGATCTTGTATTGACATCCAACACTAACTTCAATCCGATCACATTTTTCATAATAAGTGCAACAAAAGAAGAATTGCACCCTTTGTGTAGGGCGTTAACTAGCCTGTGTACCTTGGCTGTAGAACTTGGCTAACCATACAACCATCTGTTTGCATCCTAACTTTAACCAAATCAACAAGGCATGTATACCTTGGTTGGAGCCCCATTTGCTTCTTCCATAACCATATTCATTCCTTCCATCAACAATAAGGAAAAGGAAAGGTGATAGAGGATTCACGACCAACCAACTAGATGGAACAGATTCACGACTCCAAAATTTGACCGACCTTAACAACTTTCCCAAAGATGGAATGTTATTGCCTAATAACACCTATAAAGACACATCATTATCGACCTTTAAAAAATAAAATAAAAACCTGCTAATCTTTTAATGGAATGGACCTCCACACTCTCTTCCTCACAAACAGATTTGACATCTTCAATGGTGCGCTTGGTGTGCAGATCAGATGGTCCCATATTTGGTATGCCATGGGATGAAAACCAAGTAGGACAGCATGGGACAAAAATCAGGTAGGACAATATGAGAAATAAAAATTGGTTTCATGAGACAAAACTTAAAAAAAAATTGTTCCACCAAAACAGGTGGAACAACACGAGACTAAATTAGAAGATTACTATATTACCTTTTTTAAACCATTCGATACCTAAACCCAAACTTAATCCTAATCCAAAATCATCGCATCCTATTGCACGACTTCTTTCAGTTCTTCACATCGCCTCCACACACAATCGGATTCTTAGGTATGACTTATTCTCAGGTACGAATTCTTCCAGATTTCTCCATGGTTTTCGATCAGTTTCATAGTTTCGACTCTTCATGGTTTTCAAGTCCCATGATTCCTGATTTCTACTGTTGGATTTCCATGGTTTTTGAGTGATGTAAATCTAATTTGTTTTTTGAAATGCATCTGTTTTTTGATTTATATGATTTTCTGTTTTCTTACTTAAATGGATTCAATTGTTTTCTGTTTTCGGATTTCAATGGATTTAATGGTTTTCTGAGATTTACATGGATTCAAACAAAACCATGGATAATGTCAAAGTGCTTTCTTTATGATTTTTGATTTGGTTTTTTTTTTTAAATGTAGACCATCAAAAGAATGAACAAGCAACAGAGAAAAAAAGGACAATCGGTTCATTTTCATAATTTTGCACTCTCAAGCAAAAAAGTCGAATAGGGTCACAAATAACGGGAGATATTTAAGAGGTGTTTGGGATTGCTTACTCCGATGTGGTTCCGGTAATAAACAGTTTTTAGTGTTCGGATGAGAATTAAAAAAAGACTTATACTAGTGCAAGACCGGTAATAAAAAGTTTTTGTAAGTTACTTCATTCTGACTTGTCAGAAACAACTTATCAACTTTAAAAACCAAAATTACCTTTCTAACCCTAAACCTAATACTTCTTATCAGTCACTACCTACTCTGCAAGTTTCCGGTTGAAAGGTATTTTATTTGTGAGTAATCTCAGCTCGGTTCTGATTTCCGAAGAAAAAACGTCAAGAACACATATTCTCTGCAAGTTTATGATTAAAAGGTGTTTTTTTAATGAAAGGTATAAACCGGTAAACACTTATACTCGGTTCTAATTTCCGATTATATGTGTTATTGACGTTTTTTCTTCGCCAATCAAACGATTTGTGCTTTATTAATCATTTCAAACCAGATGAAGTTCGATTTGTTGCTCTATTAGAAACAAGGATTTCAGATTCTTTTACTTGCTTTCGATGTATGTTGAAATGAGTCAATGCTCTAACTAGATTTCCGAAAATTACAAACCCGGATTTCACTTATGTCTTGCTAACGTCGAGATTCTAGATTGATTTGATCAAACTAAATCGTTGTATGTTTTCTTAAAACGCTAATTTCTCAGTTGCTCCTAATTGAAGCTATATTATTTCCATCTGAAATCCTAGAGATGAATATGATTTATCACGATTACTTTGGGGGAATGGGGATAATACCAAGGAAATCATCCGTAGAGGTTAAGGGAGATGAAAAATGTCATTTTATATATATAAACAAAATTTGTTATAAGCTAAAAAATAATTTATCAATTTATTGCATTTTGATACGGTGATAAAATTCGCTAATTTAAACACTTTTTATGAAACTCTAATCATTGACAAGACTGTTTATCATTTAAAAAAACATAAGTCGTCACTCTCACTTGTATTGCAGAAACCCCTCGTTCAGTTTCAGGGACGAGACCTCCATTTTTGCAGGTGCCTCCACCTTCTTTAGCAGAAACAGAATCTTCATTCTCATTTCCGACAAGTGTACTTCCCGTCTCTCTCTCTTTGAAGCTTTTGATCGAACTCTCTTCATCTTATCCACTTTAGGCTTTTCTTTCCCTACACCTTTGGCCACTTGAACGTAAGACCTTCCATCTCTGAAGCCTTGGGAAAAACCCCTGTTCAACCCGTTAGCGTTCCTTCCTTCTTTCTCCTTCAAGTATACTGGATGACCTTTCCATCTATCACGAGCTAAGAAGACTCTCATCTTATGACTCCCAATCCAGATTGCCCCTCGACTTTCTCTCCCCCTCCCCCCCTGCAAAGATTTTCGGTTTGTAATTTGGGAGTTTTAGACTCTCTCTCTGAAGCTTCAATCTCTGAGATCTTGGTGAGCTGGAATAGGTTTTGTTTGATAACAGAAGCGATCGTCAAAGGTGATGATGCTGACTTATCGTCATCTTATTCAAAGTTCCAATCGTATGTCTCTAGTCTATGCAAGTATGGTCTTCGATCTTTAGTGGAAGAACACTTCCTAACATCCCTCCAGGTATAAGTTGCTTTAGTATCTTTCAACGCTATTGTGTTTTTTATTCCATTCAAACTTAAAACCCTAATTTAGTATATTAGATTTTTTTGTGATATAATTTTTGTTTGCCTAAACAAGAATGTTGATCCGGCTATTTGGTTGCTACCTGAATGCTAACTAAACAGTATGGAGTGTCATTTAAATTTATCCAGCCTGAACTTAGTTATTGATTGGCAAAATTATTTTAAAATACAATTGCACTAGGAACCCACCACATCAGTGATCAGACGGTTGTCTGTAAGATATGTGCTGAAGTAATGGACATATCTACAGTTTTCAGGATCTGTATGTAACTACTATCATGAAAACCATCAATGAGATTGAAATGCGGAGATCTTATGTTTGGTATGAAAAATGAGATATGTTCTTTTTATTGCCAATATATAGACAGGTGAAATTGTTTCTCAGAAGTTTAAAGAAACATTATTAACCAGAAATACACAAAGGTTGAGGTTAATAATGTTAAATAGGTACACCAATGTGGTTACAATTACTACAGCATCAAGACATTTAGTAAAGGTATCAAACACACCAATACATCACCTCCTTTGCAGTCCATATAATACTAGTCAAGAATCAGACCAAGTAGGAGATTTCCCTCGAGCCTGGAGGCATTTGACCTATACTTGATGATTTCGTAACATGTTTCCAAGTCATGAGAGTTCAATCGTTCGTGTCAATGTGAGGATTTGTGGTGCTACACTATTGTAACTTTTCTGTTGTAATTGACAGGATTCGTATCCTTCTTTGCTCCTATTAGTCATATATAGCCTCACAGAAAGGCCCGCTCATTGGATCAACAAGACCTGAGTTTTTTTAGGCTTTCTGGTTGATTGTTAAAAGCGTGGGACATTACATTATTTAATGTTAGATTTCCTGAATTATTGCATTGACCCTGGAATAAGATCCTACACGGTACACACTTTTTCCATCCATAGGATGTGAGTAGTACTTTTGGGTACAGGACAGACCTTCCAACAAGGGCATTATTTGTCATGTCCTTTCTCTATCATTCCCATCCTACAAGTAATGAACTATAGGTGGAGCAGAGGAGAATTCTTGCATTTTGGTTGCCAACAGTGAGTGATTTCCCTCCCACTTTTTCTCTGGAATGTCAAGATGCATTCCAATGACATGCCCATTATCCACCTGGCAATAGGCTTTATATTCTTGTTAATAGTGACATTGCTGCCCATAGCAGTGTGTTATTTCTTTCCATATCTCAGGTAATCAAACTTCTGTCATGTATGGTTGGAAGTTCTTTCCCTAACGCATGTAGATGTATTATTTTATGCAGTGTTCCAGGAAACGTTAAGCTGAGCTAAGTGGTTAGTGCTCTTCTAGTGTTATATCATCTCAACAGGGATCAAGAATATGGTTAACTGGAAACATAAGTAGTTCAATTCAATTAATATAATAGAATATAATAAGTTTTAGATTATGTAAACTTATATGAATAAAAAAATTTGATGCTATGGTACTTTGATTCAGTTAATATTACCAATGACTAGTTTCATTGATACAGTTACTTAGAAAGATACCCTCCAAGTGGAGAAAATTCGACTGATGACAGTTTGAGAAAAATCAATGAATGCCATTTACTTTTTGAATTGCCTAATTCAACAAAAGTTGCTGATGAAATGATGGGGGTGTGTAAGCTGTAACTCCTAGGTGGACAATTAAGTGGTTCTAGCTAATTGAAGTAATGGTGGATGCTTAATGTCTAGGCAGTCGCTTGACAGGCCCTAGGCAGGGATTTTTAGAGCACTGGTTTTGTGACACATATTTGTGGGTAAGATTTTGTTTGAAAAATTGAAAGGGCCACTATAGTATATATTGAACAAGCAAGCATGAACTAAATGCTTCTAGCTAAAGATATTGGTTTAATTAGGGAAAATGAGATGTTACTTTTAAGATGAAAAAATATATTATATAGAAAAGACCCTAAGGTAGTGTTTGGTACGTAGACTGGATGGGACGGGACGGGACGGTATGGGACAGGACGAGACGGGACAAGACTAATTGTCTGTCCTATGTTTGGTACGACTAGGACAGGACAAGACGGGACAAAACTATTAAAATGACCATATTACCCCTAAATGTTGTTCAATGTTATTTTATATCATATAATAATTGTAAAATGACAACAAATCAATMAAAATMTTGTCATTTTAACTTTARTCCCATGTTGTTCCACCTTTTTTGGTGGAACAAGAAATATCAAGATTTGTCCCACTAAAATTAAAAATAGTCCCACCTTGTCCCATGTTTTTTTTTGTCCATGGCATGCCAAACATGGGACTATTTTTTTTGTCCCGTCCTGTCCCATAGCACTCGTTGACTTGAATTATGTGCTCAAGGAATCTAAAGGGAGGTGTAGCAAATATGTATTTATGTATATAATATTCACTGAGGTTTCGTTGTTGCTACTTTTTAATGTCTAGATATGTAGTTGTTGGTTCTATAATCTGTTATTGATATGTGTATTGCATGTTACTCTTTGATCTGAATCAGCAACATTGTTTGACTTGAGCAGGACATGTTAGAGAAACATGTTTCACCGAAGTTTTGGAAGAATTTTGATGCTTATAGCAATGTCACAGACCATGAAGAGAATGGCAAAGATGTATGTTGACACTTCTACTCACCATGTAATTTGCTGTTTGCTAAATCATATCTGATATGCATATGGCATTGCCCCACAACTCATCTGTTATTGTTAAAAAAACTTCCTTTGGGATCGGATATGTGCATCAATACTTGATATGAACAATACTTTTTTTTTTGAAGTATATAATATTTATATACAGCAAATGCAACAAATAAACTCACACACCCTCCTCACCATAAGTGAGGTTTGAACCCTTGACCTCCTAGGAGGCCAAGAACTACGATACCGCTAGGCCAAAGGCCCTTTGGTGATATGAACAATACTTCTTTTCAGGGTTCTTCTTATATAACCAAATTTTTTGTTTATTACTTGATTTATAAATCAACATTGATGAGATACATGAAACTTTGAGCAGTTTGCTAATGTATATGAACTTGTACATTGGAAATCGAAGAAATTGTAACTTACATCTTCCTCTGTCCAACTTTGGTATCAAAGTTTTCTCATTACTCCGTACCTTTTTCCGTGAAGCATAAATAGTTTTTCTTGGATCTTCTATACTACCCTTGGTGAGGAAGAATAAAGACACTCTTAAGAATGTGTGGGAAAAGTTTAGTTGCTGCAAGGTGCTGATTATTGATATAAGTTAGCCTTTCCACCTCATCTTCTTTTTCAAAGTAACAGCTTTGGGCATTGTGTTAGGAAGTGTTGAGGTGTGGTCTATCTATATCACCTAAGTTTCTGCATTATATACATACATAAATGCATACATATATACATACCCTCACTCGCACATTTGTGTGTATTATAGTAGTTACTTTTTATAATTTGATTCTGAATTTGGTGGATCTTCAAATAGATGCAAGAGGATGAGATTGAATTACTACTGTGTGAAGCTTTGGAAGAAATATCGCTGGAGAAACAGTATCAAGAAAAGTATTTATTGATGTTGGTCAAGTCTTTACAGCAATGCCAAGATAGCACATCAATGGAAGGACATCCCTCAGATGTGGAAAAGTTCTTCTTTTCTAAATATCAGCTAATTGTCTCTTCTGTTCTTATGACTACTCTACCACGACAATTTCCAGGTATTTGTTTCTGGAGATGTTAATTATGCACACTGCTTGCTCTCATTGACTTGACTGTTACCTCAAATTTATGAACACAAACATTAGTCTTAATCTGACATTTTCTGTCTTTCAAGTTATACATTTTGTCGGCAAGATTAATTACTGAAGGTCAGTATAATCGAAGTGACACTTCTATATTGAGTTAGCACTTGCTTTCAGGTAAGCTTTGTTCAGACTCAGTATAGTTTGTTTGAGTGCACCAAGGTTTTATAGACTTGGCATGACCCTCATCCTCTGGCTAAATATGTCATGGTTCACTCGACAAGACGAATGTTCAGGCCTGTTATTTTGGTATTTCCGTAACTTATCTATTATCACTACTCAGATAATAGAAATAGAATAATGAATTTGGTGCAATGTTGACGATTTCAACAGATGGTGCTGATGCTACATCAAAGCTTTATATTAAAAACAATTAGAAGTTATATGGGAAATTAGCAATGCAAATAAAGCGAAAAGCGAGATCTGAGAACACTAAACTAATGAAAATCTTTTTCCAAAAAAATAAATAAACGAAAATCTTTGTTACTCTTTCATGGACATGCATATATTTCTTTTGCATTTAGATATAGTATCAAATTTTCACAACTAATTTTGCTAAATTTCTTGCCATCTAATCTAAGTATTATCTACCTATGATGTGTGTTGTACTTATGAAGGCTTAGCCTTGACTGCTAAACCATATTTGAGCAATATTCAGGATAAATGTATGTATCGAAGACCTTTACACATATTATCTTTAAGCCGACCCTTACTATGCAAAGTTTCTAAACATTTGCCTATTAACATGTTTCTAGAGGTACTGCACTGGTACTTCAAAGGAAGATTAGAGGAATTGAGTACAATCATGGCTGGAAATTATGAAGATAACGAATCACAAGATACAAATGGCATGGAATCATATGGAAAAGGTAAACACCCCACTCGTTTTGGAAACATGGATATTGATGGAAGCTATGACCAGAAGAAAATTTTGGAGAACAAGTTAGTGAGGAACATTGGAATGGTTGTTCATAATCTCAGAAGTCTTGGATTTACTTCCATGACTGAAGATGCTTATGCTTCTGCGATATTTTTGCTTTTGAAGGTGCACTCTTGCTCTATGCAATGGCCATCCAGCTTATGTGATATACTTATTATATACTGTAGCTAAATTCGTTTTCTATTGCAAGAGTTTTTCATAACTCGGTGTAAAGATCGATTTGTTTGTATTGGTGAGTACATCACGACATCTTGCCATCAAGTGGCCGAACCTTTGGATATGTTTAACTTTACACTTGTCGAGTTGTCGTCGTCTTTTTTTTTTGTATCATATATGTATGTGCCTTCTAATTCTGCCTGGGATATCTTACATTACATTTTTCTGAATTATGGCAGGCTAAAGTTTATGATCTAGCTGGCGATGATTACAGGAGTTCTGTCTTGGAATCTATTAAGGAGTGGATACAGGTTGATCTTGTTTCCCATGATACTGCTGCTCATATGTTCCCTTAAGAATTTTAAATAGATGTGATTTAGACATTTGATAGTGTACCTCTGGGCTCTGGTCAGCTCGAAATGTATTTTAATTACTATGATCACTGGCATGCAAGCTGGGGTATTTACAGCAGCCTCATCTCTACCACAAAGGGTAGAGGAAAAGTTTGTGTGCATCCTCCCTCCAAAACCCTACTTTCAAGTGGGATATACTCAGTATTTTTTGTTTGGTTTCGTCTGGTTACTGGTATGTAGTCCTTCACTCAGATGGTAGTGTTGAGGTGCTTGTACCTAATTAGATAATAGCTTTTAATTCACAGGCTGTAACTAATTATAGCATCTCTAGAGGATCATATGTGAAATGCAGAATGCTCCTTGCATTTGATTTGATCTGCCAATTCAGATGAAAGTTCTTACCTTTTGTAGATTGGCATCATGTCAATATTATAAGGAACTTTCATTTAGTGGCAGTTAGCTTGAGCAATTTTTTCTGCTGATTTTCAGATGAAGCATTTGAGTCATTGAGTGAAGAGTTGAAAGATTTTTTTATATGCATGTGGTGTTAGCTAATTGGATGTTTTCAGTCTTGATAATTCAGATTTACCCATGCAAGCATTTCTCTTGTTATTCTTTAGGTTGTTTTCAACACTATATTTGATAAAAGAACATTTTCTTTCATGTTACAAAGGTATGAATTCTAACAAGAGAAGGTGCTTTCTGCAGGCTGTGCCTCTCCAGTTTTTGCATGCACTTCTTGATTATCTTGGTGATTCTATCAGTTATCTTAGCCCTTCTAGTATGAAATCACCTCTGGCATCAAGCCCATCTTCATGCTACCCTGGAGCTAGTAAACCATCTGAAGGAATTATTAGATGGCAGTTGCGATTGGAGTATTTTGCTTATGAAACATTGCAAGACTTGAGAATTGCCAAACTTTTTGAGATCATTGTGGATTATCCTGACAGGTTAATCTTTTGATCTTCAGTAGCTGACAATAGTATCCTCATTACACTTTGCAGGGGTTATGCCATGTTATGTTCATCATGAACTTGTAGTTGTAGATGTTAGCATAACAAAGGAAGCAACTAATGCCAACATCGCGACATGTGCCTGACTGCATAACTGCATTATGTGCAAATTATGTGTAAGCGTACTTGTTTCTCTATAGCTACATGAAATCATTAAATTTAGCCACCTCAACGCAGATGCAACAAAAAAATGTTTATCATGAAGGATAAGTGTCAAAACATGGACTTATGGAGTATATTATTTAAAGGAAATTGGTGTTCACTGGTAAAAAAATTGTTTATGAAATTGGTCTGTAATAGCCATAGCCAATCTAGATAATTGTATATAATTATTTTTGTCCAATCACTATGCATCTTGTCAGCTGAGAAGTTGAGACATTCTAGTGTTAAACATAGAGGGAACTCCCTTCTCCTTTTTCTTGCTCATCAAACTTGTTTTGCTGGGTCTCTTTACATATTCTCTAGAAATTTTTATATCTATGCTGTTGAATTTGATGTTCCATTTTGTGCCTTGCAAAGAAGTTGATCCTTGTTTACCAACCACACATTGTCTATCACTCTAAATGTTCCTCAAAGAAATCTGATTTGAGGGGATTCTTCCTCCAACTAAGGATGAGATGTTGCTGGAATTGGCACAAATGATTTTGCAAAGTAATAACCCTAGTGAGAGATGTGTGATAGTATGTAGTGCCATAGGGGGGATTTGCTGATTGTGTTTCCTATGTAAATGTAAAATATTATACAGTGACTCGGTGAGTTCACAGTTCCAGCATTTTCCTGTGTTCTCTTCCTACTTTTAACTTGGATAGACATCAATTTCCACCTACTGTCTATATTTGCAGTGCTCCTGCCATTGAAGACTTGAAACAATGTATTGAGTACACCGGACAACACTCGAAACTAGTTGATTCATTTATATTCGCACTGCAATACCGGTTGTTGACAGCGGGTGCTTCGACAAATGACATATTGCACCAATACGTTTCAACTATAAAAGCACTTCGAACAATAGATCCAGCAGGAGTTTTTCTAGAAGCAGTTGGTGAACCAATTAGGGAATACCTAAGAGGAAGGAAAGATACCATTAAATGTATCGTGACTATGCTTACAGATGGGACTGGTGGAAATAACAATGGACCTGGGAACAGCGGAGATAGTCTCCTTGAGGAATTAAATAGAGATGAAGAAAATCAAGAAAGTGCTGGTCTTGATGATGATATCAATACTGATGACAAGCAAGCATGGATTGATATCCAACGGTATGTGTATGCAATAGATGGAAGAAATGAAATTGTTGTTATATAATCATATGATGATCTTTTTTCCCACCATCAAAGCTTTGACGTTAATTTACAAACACTCTTCAGCTGGGAACCTGATCCTGTTGAGGCTGATCCCCTGAAGGGCAGCCGGTATCGAAGGAAAGTAGATGTACTTGGGATGATTGTTGGTATAATTGGTTCGAAAGATCAATTGGTTAATGAATATCGTGTTATGCTGGCTGAAAAACTTCTAAACAAAACTGATTATGACATCGACACTGAAATACGCACATTGGAGCTTCTTAAGGTGGGTGATTTGAAAATGGATATTATGTTTTCTTGAGATGGCTTACTAAGCATGTCATTCTGTTAGCTTTCGCTCATGGCATCTTCTTATTAAAAAATTTGTCATCATTTCCAGATACATTTTGGTGAAAACAGCATGCAGAAATGTGAGATCATGCTCAATGATCTGATTGATTCAAAAAGGACAAACACAAATGTAAAAGCCACCATAAATCAATTAGCTCAAACAGGTAGATTAAGCAACTAATGGCTAGTGTTATGATAACAAACATCATCTATAATACATTTATTATGATTTTCTGATCATTGTTTGCAATGGACTTATAGGTGCCGAGTCTCAAGAGCATGAGGCTTCATTTGATATTCTTGACGCCACAATCATATCTTCTAATTTCTGGCCACCTATTCAGGTATGAGTTATAAATAACTTATAATATTCACTTTTTGTGCAACTGTCATTACTCTCACGAGCAGAGTCACATGTGCTGCAGTTTTAAAAATCATGGGGTATTGAACAGACTTCTGGATTAGAAGACACATGCTCCTCTATTAGCAACCAAAGATCTTATTGCATATGTTTAAATAACTGTTAAGTCGGCAATTCTTCACGTATTAGAATCTTTGAAGTAGACGTTGATTTTTTGTGAAGGTAAGTAGAGACTTAGAGGTCTAACTTTGTGATGGAAATTGATCATATCATTTTCTTCACTTTTCTTGTCTTCTACTTGACTATGCGGCCAACTCAAATCTGTTGTAGCTTAGTTGGGTAAGCTGCTCACATACTAACGTAGTAAGGTTCTTGCAAATGCAACTATGCATATGCATTAATTGATATTTAAGCAATTTATACACACACACAAATGATCTTTCAATAATACCATTAACCTTGAAATGGAACTGCAGGATGAAGCTGTCAACATACCTGAGCCTGTTGACCAGCTTCTAAGTGACTATGCTAAGAGATATCATGAAATCAAAACTCCTCGCAAGCTACTATGGAAGAAAAACCTTGGTACAGTGAAGGTAAAGATTAGCACTGCACAACATTTGGCTTTTTTATTCATTTTTCTTTCTATTGTTATAACATGATAATAGTAGTTGATTTAGTAATAGCAAGTGTCATTATTGTTATTATGTTCTCTTTCTGTATGCTTTATTGTTGTTACTTCTCTTTCTACATGCTTTATCGCTGTTATTTCTCTTCCTGTATGCTTTATATATAAGAAGACTTATTATTGTTAGCTGATTTACTTAACTTCTAAACTGAACAAGAATTCACTCTCATCTGTTTCAGTTAGAATTGGAATTTGAAGATAGAACTCTACAGTTTACAGTCACTCCTGTACATGCTTCGATCATTATGCAATTTCAGGATCAAAAAACGAGGTAAAATCATGAATCTATGTCCACCACAGAAACATATGTTTCCAACCCCCTTTCCATATAAAGAAATAAAGAATCTACCTGCATGTGGTCCTTTCAGTTGGACCTCTAAGAATCTTGCAGCTGCCATTGGGGTGCCTGTAGACACACTTCAAAGGAGGATAAGTTTCTGGATAAGCAAGGTTGGTCAACTTATTATTTAACATCAACCCTTGATTATTTCTTTTATTTTCTAAAGTCCTTGTGGGTTTTCGTTTTCTTCTACCCCAATTTGGGGTAATAATTTTGTGCTCTATTCATTAAATTAAGCAATAACATTCCTTCTCATGAAATTACTTGTGGGTTTTCATTAAATTTATAGACTGAAGTCTAAAGGTGACCCTTTTCCAGCTATTGTTGATGGTATATGTTTCTATTTTGTTCTACTTCGGCTGTAATCACTTTAGCCTTCTTTTTTTTATCTGGTCTAGGGGATTATTGCAGAGTCTTCAGGTGAAGACTCTAATGACCACTTGTATACGCTGGTTGATAGCATGGCTGATGGTGGTAAGACGGGCATTAATAATGAGGAGTTGGTAGCTGATGATGATGCTGAACGATCAGTAGCCTCTGTCGAGGATCAGTTACGCAAAGAAATGACTGTGTACGAGGTATGTTCTGCCTGTATGATTGTTTCTTTTTCCAAATTAGCTGCATTACAATTCTTAGGGGCTGTTTGGTTGGTTTTTCATGAAGTCCTGTATGGATAAAGCTGTTTGTGTGAATTAATCTGCCTATAGATTGTGAAGGTTTTTGTGTAAGAGAGTTTTTCATAGATAGAAGGAGCATGTTTTTTAATTGGGAAGGGCAACTTTAGGAAAAACTTGGCTTTCTGCGTAAAGCTCCTCCCTGAAAGCTTATTGAATAAGCCACTTTCTATATCCTTAAGCCAATACCGAACAACCATGTATAGCTGACCGAATAAGATGGGAGTCTCAATAAACTCATTAAGCTCAGAAACCTTTGCATTAGATTATCGAAGGGAATCTGAATTTGAGACACTTGATTAATAGTCAAACATTGATCTTAAACTATGTGTCATTTGAGATGGTAAGCAAAACTCTCCATGCTTCTAATATGAACTTTTAACTTATGCTGCAGAAATTCATCGTTGGGATGCTTAAAAACTTCGGCAGCATGGCATTGGACCGAATACATAACACTCTCAAGGTAACAATCTTTCTGATGATAATAAAACGAGTATTAATTAGGATGTAAGATTAGTTTTTGAGTTAAACAATGAGACGTTTGTTGTAGATGTTTTGCGTATCTGATCCTACTTACGACAAGTCACTCCAACAACTGCAATTCTTCTTGTCGGGCCTAGTTGCAGAAGAAAAATTGGAATTTAGAGACGGCATGTACTTTTTAAAGAAGTAACAAGCCATTGGAAATGCATTTCGTATGTTGCTTTGGAAACCTGATGGTAATTGGCAAATGACAAGATCTCCTCCACCCGAAGATGTAGCGACCCCTGATGAAGTTATTTATCCATGGGCGTATCCGGTATCAACCTAAGGCGGCTTTTCTGGTCGAATTCATACATATTTGTAGCATCTTTGCAAGTCGTACATTTAATTCCCCTAAACCAGCAAGTCGGCCCAATAACCATCAAATCATCTTCGGTAAAAGTTATTGATAGCTAACAACCTTAAACTCTATTAAGGAATTCATAGATCTAATTTTCTATTCATCGGGTGACAATACATCTTATCTATTCATGTAGGACAAGTTGTTATGGTCTACCTCCTAACTTCGGTGTAAAATTTAGAATCATGTTATTTCATGATTTATGAAACTCGGGTTGGTAAATGTTCATGCACCGATTAAAATGTGTATTTTTGTTAAGAAAATCCAATCTTAAATTGTTATGATATGTCTAAATACCAACCAATTATACTTTATACAAACTAATTGGTACTAACTTCTTTTTGTTGGTATAGTTTTATGCCAGCATCGTAATATTTGAAGTTATAGATTTGTTCATGTGAACATCTTTACCAATTAGATTTAAATGCACTAAAACCTTCATGTTGTATCACTTATTTCCATATATACAAACATTCAAATAACCTTCATATAATACAAGCGGCCATTGAGAAGCGACGGCGAACCGTGGAGGTATGAACGAGTTAATACAGTTCTTAGGGTTGGACGAGTGAATTTAATCAAGTTCTATATATCCATCCAAATTATAAAAAGTTAATTTTTTTTATAATAAAAGTATGTTGTATTATACTAAATTTTAATTAATAAATAATAAAAAAAGTAGTCCGCACGGTACAATATTAGTATATTACCGTGGTACATGACTTCTAATACTATGTACCAATCAAGTTTAGATAGTTGGTACAGTACTACCAACCAATTAAATTGGTACCAAAACTGAATTGGTATGGTTGATACATGAATTGGTTGGTTTGTTTTGGTACAAATTTGACACCGCTACTGCTTCTCTTTAACAAATAAAGATCATCTATCCCCAAACTTTTTTGAGCTCCATTATCAGATACCTCCCAACGATAGTAGCATAAAACGAATCACATTGATGGTGCCATTAAGGATCGTATAACAAAATTTTCACCACGTGAGACAAGTTCAATGGTGGCATTACACGACCCACCACCCGAACCTAGCAAATCCACCCGAGCACCCACACGAACTCCAAGAAATATCGAGACATTGAACGTTTTTTTCAGGCATTACACAGGCCTTTAAATGTGAATGTTTTTGGTAAATTTATAGTCTATGAATCTTTTCAAATTATGTTAAAACCGCTTATATATTTTCTAATCATTTTGAATATTTTATCATTTCAGTATTTGAAATCCCACAAACGTTGGATTTTGAAATCCCACGGAAATGGTTGGTATTTCATGGGAATTCGTAAAATTTATATGTAATAATGCTTTAAGATGTGTTAAAAACATTTATTTTATAATAATCAATTAATAAAAAAGTAATTTAATTATTTTTATAATTATTTATAAAGAATGAAATCCCGTTCCATTCAAAATCCTACAAGCCAAACATCACCAAAGATTTCAAATCACTCCAATTCCAAATCCATCAACGAAATTCAAATCCTTCAAAACCATTTCATCGAACCAAACCTAAGATTCCTTTTGGTATGTAGGATTAGATTGGATTTGAAGAGATTTTGAATTGAATTCCATTACAATCCCATGTTTAGTTTGAAAGATTTTATGAGATTTCATTACAAACATAGAATTTTGAAATCTTATGGAGGTGATTGGTATTTCAAGGAATTTCGTATGATCTGTATGTAATAACGTTTAAAATATGTTAAAAATATTTGTTTTGTAATAATCGATTAATAAAAAAATAATTTAATTATTTATAAGTTGTTTTAAATAAGCAATCCCAAACACCCCCTAAACACAAAGATTTCAATCCAAATATCTCAAATTTCCGATCCTTCCACAAAATCCAAACTCAACGAAATCATTCCATGAAACTAAACCTATTTGATCTCATTTGATTTGTAGGATTTGAAATTGAATTCCATTATAAACTCATGTTTGGTTTGAAGGAATTCTCGGATTTAAAATCCCAAGTTTTCATTGGAACTGTTTGATAATCCTTGCCTTCCTCATTTCAAGAACAGATAGTTGGTAAATTAATAACAAAGCATTGATTTTTATATATAGAATTGCAAGCTCACCGATAAAACTGGTCTCTGATGATGAGAATCGTACAATTCGACCATTGTTTTTTCTAGTTCTCCCATTTTTCTTGAATAGTAGTAACATGGGCCAAGACAACATATAGAGAGTATAGCGAGTACACTAATATCCCGCGTAAAACTGTGAACATTTGGGAAGAAGGGTCACTAAGAGATTTTCGTGATGAATGAGAGACAAAGATTTGCTCAGCTCTTGAGAGTTTGCTCAAAAAATTTGTTTTTAGATCAAGGACTGCAGGTTCATGCTGCAGCACTAACGATGGGTTACGGGTTTGATATGATGATAAACAATGATCTCATAGATATGTATGGAAAATGTGGCAAGGTTGAGATGGCATGTAAGGTGTTTGATAGAATGCTTCAAACAAACGTTGTTTCTTGGACATCTCTTATGTGTGGGTATTTAAATCAGGGCAATGCCAAAAGCTCTTTATTACTCTTATCTCGAATGGGAAGTGCCATGGTTAAACCAAATGAGTTCACTTTTTCTAGCAATTTTAAAGCTTGCGGTTTAGTTGGTGTTCCTGAGAATGGGATGCAGATTCATGGGTGGTGCTGTAAAACAGGCTTTGAATGGTTTCCTGTGGTGGGAAATTCTATGATTGATATGTATTCAAAATGCGGAAGAATTGATGCAGCAGCTCGGGTGTTCGATGGAATGCCTGAGAGAAGTTTGATAACTTGGAATGCAATGATAGCAGGTTATGCAGTTGGACGAACTGGTGACAAATCCTTGTTTTTGTTTAAGGAAATGCAGATACAAGGAAAAGTACCTGACGAGTTTACTTTTACGAGCACTTTAAAAGCTTGTGCAGGTCTCGGAGAATTGTGGGCCGGGTGGCAAATCCATGGCTTTCTGATTTCTACTGGTTTTCAATTGTCACAAAAAACAATTGTTGCAGGTTCACTTATTGATTTGTACGCAAAATCTGGGAATTTATGTGATGCACAAAAAGTGTTTGATCAAGTCAAAAGCAAGAGTGTGATATCTTGGACATCGCTAGTTGTAGGCTACGCTCAGGAAGGAAATTTGTCCAAGGCTATGCAGTTGTATGGGGCACTTAGAAAGAGTGGCATTCCAATCGATGGGTTTGTTCTCTCAAGTGTGATGGCGGTGTTTGCTGACTTTGCCCTTGTTGAACAAGGGAAACAAATGCATGCTTACACGATAAAAATCCCATCTGGTCTAGACATCTCGCTGGCAAATTCAGTTGTGGATATGTATCTCAAGTGTGGTTTAATAGAGGATGCCGACAAATTCTTTTACGAAATGCCCAAAAGGAATGTGGTATCTTGGACGGTCATGATAACCGGTTATGGAAAACATGGTCTTGGCAAAGAGGCGATTAACATCTTTGAAAACATGCAGTTAGAGAACATTTCCCCTGATGGAGTGACTTATTTGGCTGTGCTCTCATCTTGTAGCCACTCTGGGCTAGTTGATGAGAGTCGAGAATACTTCTCTAGATTATGCAATGACCTCACAATCAAACCAAGTGTGGAGCATTATGCTTGCATGGTTGATCTCCTTGGCAGATCTGGGCGTTTGAGAGAAGCGAGAGATCTTATCAAGAGCATGCCTGTTAAGCCAAATTCAGGAATTTGGCAGACATTGCTTAGCGCTTGTAAAGTACATGGAGATTTGGAAATAGGACGAGAAGTTGGAGAAATTCTCTTGAAAATGGACGACATAAGTACTGTAAACTATGTCATGATGTCAAGCATCTACGCTAATGCTGGCTTCTGGAAAGAGAGTGAGAGCATTAGAAATTCAGCCAAGGTGAAGGGATTAAAGAAAGTAGGTGGACAAAGTTGGGTAGAGATCGATAAGACAATCCACTTTTTCTATAATGGAGATGAGAGGCATCCACTGACATCGAGAATCCACAAAAAGTTGCAGGAAATTGAGAAGAGATTGAAGGAAGAGGTGCATTACGCCTATGAAGTGAGGTTCTCATTGCATGATGTGGAGGAGGAATCAAAGGAGGAGAGCTTGAGAGTTCATAGTGAGAAGCTGGCGATAGGGCTCGTGTTGGTTCATGATGACGGGATTGAGAAGGAAGAGAGGAGATATATTCGAGTTTTCAAAAATTTGAGAGTCTGCGGGGATTGTCATGAGTTCATAAAGGGTTTGTCAAAGATATCGACTAAAGTATTTTTGGTTAGAGATGCTAATAGGTTTCATAAGTTCGAAAATGGTGAGTGTTCGTGTGGAGATTATTGGTGATAAGGCCTTGCTACATTTGTGTTTATGTTACTTGGCTGCAAAGATCGATTCCATAACTTAAACCAGAAGTGGGCATATGCATATCTGAGTTTGTATCCAAAGACCGTTTCCCTTCGACATTGAGGTGGGACTGCCATTGTGCACATTGGGAACCTGTCACCCATACGTTGCAGAGAATCTGGCGGCAAACAACGGATGCGTGGTTGTGGAGGGTGGTTTCTTTGGCAGAAATCTGGGGAAGTATTTCGAAAACCTGTTGTTTTCATGTGGCCGAAAATGGAAGCAGAAGTCAAAAACTTGATCAGATGTGTACTTGAGCTCACAGAAAGGTATGCTTACACATACTCCCTTGTTACTGTATGAGTCACAACTTCATAGATTGGAGTATGAACAGAAAAAATATGCGTCGATACTGAATAGAATAAATATTGGTCAGTATACTGGTCAAACAAATTCTTATGATCATATGTTGATGCGAGGATGATATCAATACGGGGATGTTTCTAGTAACCTCATGTAATATGAATATTTTGTTTCATAATATTTTTTATTTCAACCAAGTTATATATGGTGAACTCACCCTTAAGTTGTGCTTGACATTTAAGACATTTCAGCTTTGAAAAGAATTAATTTCATTGGCTTTTGAAGGTGAGAGGAATTGTTTTTAACTTTAATTAATGTTGTAACAAAAAACCAGAGGTTCATATATATTTTGGTACTCAACCGCAGTCGACATGGAGTAGACTTGCCATGAGTCACGAAGTTTGATAGAGATCTGTTTATTACAACCTTTATTACATCTGATAGTAATTGTTCACTTTACATCAAGTATGTATTATTATATATCATTTGTTTGATAACATAAGGTTCAATTACCATATAGGGAAGATCCTTCCAGCCTGAGAATTTATGATTTACTAGTCCACAAAAGCTGCATCAACTTTCTTCTCATATCTGAATTACCAGGCAAATGATCAAACCCATAACAGCTACTAAAGGTTGAAGTTGGTGGTACAACAATAATCTACAGCATATATAGACATGGGATTATAAGACTTCTATAAAATCATTATCTGATAGCTTTCTTAGGAGTTCTTGCTGAAGAAAAATTGTTAACCAACAATTGCAGATGTTACTAAATCTGATTGGAACAACTTGATCTTAAAACTAACTATGAGTTTAAGGAAATCTGGATAAATTTTTTTTGACCAAAAAAAGCATGGCACATCAGTTGCTAGCTTCAATAAAACTGGTTATTAAGGGGATATGTGAAATTACTTATCAACCCTTGGTTAACCATAGTTGACACTTTTCCGTCATCAATCTGAAAAGGGTAACATGGTCGTCTCCTTCTTCTACCCTAACTGAGACACTTTTCCATCTCATGTTTATCAAGAAAAAAATTGATTCAACATGTAAACAGTAAGTTCTACTAAGCAGCTGAGGTCCATGGTAAACAGTAAGATCTGCTAAATTTCATGTGTTCAATAATCTTGTTTATATGAAATCCCGATTAATTGGGGTTTAATTAGGAGAATCAAAAGAGGAATTCTTTGATGGCATGAATCAGTTGATGGAATTAGGATTTCTTTTTATTCACCATTACCAAATTTATCTTCTTAATTCATATATGCTAGCCGTTGAAATCTTGACATTGTGTTTTTGTTTGCTAGGTAGATCATGTGTAATGAGCTTCTAATGTTTCTTTCGAAACTGAGACTCCGTTCTATGTAGCATCGCGGCCAAACAGCTCCTGGTCCCCAGCTGGTGGGAACATGTTACACCTTAATAAAGACATAAACAACAATTACATTCACGCATGATAACCTACTGAATTAGGAAGGAATCAATAACATGACACTGCACAAGTCGTTAAGGGATAACATCTAATTAGGAAAACATAGCAACAGTTCAGAATTTAAGCAAGCATCACCAACTGAGATGATCCACACCCAAAATCAATGAAATTCCTACTCCTCTCAACATATACTTAATCTTAAAACATCCCAAATAATTAAATAAATAATCTGTAATGTCCTGGAATCCCAAACAATCTAGTGTAGGCTACATATTACTCATGTATACAACAAAGAATTAAGGTGTCACTTTATACAAACCAGTTTCTATTTTGAAATAAGCATATCTACCCTTCTACCTGCAATCTATAATTTCAAGTTTCATCTAGCTTGGATCAAGTAGCTAGACCCATATTAAAAACCCAATTTACGATCAATTTATTCACAGCCAAATTGGCATCTCATGATTCTCATCATAAAACCTAAACCAGAAACTACACTTCAAATCAAGATTCTTATAATATTCAACTTATAACCCAAAACACAAATAACCCTCTTGAAATGATCATGCCGCTTTCTATACATACAACAACAAACATATGCTTGAGGTATAAATCTGAAGGATCAAAACTTAGGTCCAATTAAACAGGAGGACTTAAGAGAAAGATTGGAAAATTATCTTATAAGGGTCAAGGAATTGAGAGGAAGAGCAAGTAATGTCTGTGTGAGATAGCTCATGCACTATTCGGATGTTCTGTAGACATCAGTAACTGATGCATACAAACCTGAAATATACTAAGAGGAGAATCAGTCTAATATTGCACAACTATTGATCCATAAGTCAAGATTTAAATTCACAATTAAAGTTTATGGGTCCCTGAACAGCTCTGTCCTTTTGTACCTCAGTTCTTACTAAACCTTAATACTAAGCACTTTATTAATGACTTTGATAAGTACCCACTGCTAAGCCTCTTTTACTTGGATGTTGAATCTTGATCTTGGTGTCCTAGAAGCATTTTCTGTTTTCTACTTTGCTACATACATGCTTTGGAAGGCTGCATGCCTAGTACAGAAACATTTTCCACTACAGCTCAATACTGAAAATGTCACTAATAGCATAAAAAAATATCTTCAAGCAATGGTCTCTGTTACCTTATTGTTGAGGTTAGTAGAAGGGAAGTATATGGCTCAATAAACATGTTAAATTGCAATTGTACAGCAAGAAGAGTTATGGATTATAATGGACGTTGAATCTTTGTTGGTAAACCTAAAAAAGATTTTGGAATGCTATTCCCATTTCTCTTTTCTGCTGCCGATAGCTATTATGTTCCCATATATGTGAGTGGCATTCAAATTAAACTTTGTATATAACCTGTTATGCATGTACTCAAGTAATGAAATTCCGAGCTTGGAGTAGTGTAATTAAACAGGTTTATAGGGCTGGAAGTGATTTTAATTCAATCAAATATTTCTGATGCAGAATGCTTATTACAACAAGGAGGTGTAAGTTGTTGGTTGGAGTGTTATGATTGTTTCTATTGTTTCTATAGTTTATCATATCTATCAATGCATTTTTGTGCTGAAACAACAATTATGATCAATTTGCTTAAATAAACATAGACCCCTCTGGTATGTTTACCTGAAAGCTTCTGCTTTGCCTCTTTCTCTATTGCCATCAGTTTCCAAATTACTTTGTGTTCATCCTTTGCTTGTTTGAATTTGGTTTAATATATAGAGAGGCCCCCACAGTTTGACAAAAGTATTAAAGAAGTCACCCGACTATAAAAATGTCGATGGAGGTTATCCAACTTTCAACTCGTGTCATTTATACCAAATTCCAGAATTCAGCGTGAAATGACTATTATACCCTTGGGTTCAATTTAAAAATTGAAAAATCTTACATGAAAAAGAACAAAAATTTCAGCAACTCTTTTGGAAACTGAAAAACGTGATTAAAATTTGACTTCGGTTTTGAAATTATACATGCAACAAAGACCACCATTACCCTCCCCTCCCCTTCCCTGTGCAGGCCCACCACCTATATGGTAACGATGTACCCCCCCCCCCCCCCCCCCCCTTTCCATGACATGCTATGGTGTAACCCTTCCCCGTGCGACCTTTTTTTCCATGCTTTCTATCAAATATCTTTTAACTTTGACTGCTGAAGTTCATGCCTTTGTGATTTGATCAGCAAACACTTTTAAGGTAGGGGTATTTTTTGTGATCTTTGTATAAATGGCACAAGTTTAAAGTTGTGTGACCTTCTTAGACATTTTTAGATGTGGGTAGCTTTTTGAGACTTTTGTCAAACTTCGATAGCCTCCTTGCATCTTTGATTTTTATGTTTACCTTCTCCAGGAGATAGGAGGGAACTTCCATATATTTGATGATGGCATATTTATTCAATGCAACGACACATGACAACTGATGTTCGTTTGATGGCTTTCAAATTTTTTTGGCTTGGTTGTCCAGCACGACCTGTTTCCTTCTCCATGTGCGAGGCCTTTTGATTAGGTGTATGCTTCGAATTTGATTCGGGAGGTTCACGCTTTTGGCTTGCTTTGATGTGTGTGATAACATGTGGTACCCCCAGATCACTCTCCAGAAAAGCCTTTTAAAAGGAAGGGGAGGTTCTAACATATGTACTGGAGAAATGGACTAAGTCTAGCCGATGTGGGACTCCAATAGTGTGGATATATTATTTGGAGATGCCAACTGAATGTATGAGTGGGATGTTTATGAGTTGTTCTCATATCCACGGAAGGGAACGGAGAATGTCTAACACAATCTGATTTTTGATCAGGGGAATTGAAAGCTAAGCCGTTGTAAATCTAAAGATTCGAATAGTGAAAGAAGAGATGCACAAAAAAAGTCTGAAACGTCCGAACAAAAAACCCCAATCCTAGTAAGATTCCCAAAATACCCCTGACTTAACAATTTTTTTTAACAGTTTTGAGGTCTAGCAAAAATGAAACCCGGAGGATCCTAGCAATGAATTTTAGGGCTAGGGACCTTTTCCGTAATTGAGATGAAGCCACAGGGACGAAATCTGTAATCAACTCAATGTTTTTTATTTGAATGCTTTTGTGGCTAATTTAGAATTATTGGGAAATTGAGTGGTTAAACTATAAAAGAGATCTTCTTTTTGGGTGGGAGCGAAGGGGTGTTACTTCCTTCTCTCCCAAGGCATCTCTATTTTTCGCTATTCATTGTTCTTTACACTACACAATTAAACTCTGCGGCAACAGTTTTCTTCTCCGATCCCGATAACTAACTTCGTCCCTCTAAGGTATCTTTTCGATTTAAGTTTTTGTGGCCTTTTCATAATCGGAATATATGCTTTCATTCTATGGGTTTTAGTGTGGTCGATTTAATCTTGTCATGTAGTTTGGTCGGACTACGATTTAGGGTTCCCATTATGCGTAGTTGGTTCATGTTTTATCTATGTATCTCCACCTCATTCTAAGCTCGGTTGCCCCTTTTTCCATGAATTTGTGGAGGCATTAATTTTAGGGCTTTTAGCATTTTCCTTGGATTTGATCTGTTCTTGATTGTTGACTTAATTTTGTGTCGGTTCATGATTATTAAAAAATTAATTTTGGAAGTACCGTGTTTATCCGTTATTTATTATTCTTTATCTGGAACTAGGATTTAGAGATTTTAGGCACTGTTATTATTGGTCATGCTGCAACTGTTTGTTTCTTATATTGGGATTGTGCTTTTTATGTGCTGCTACTTTATATGTTATATTGATCCTGTTCAAAGACAATTTAGAGGTGTATCATTTCTATAATATGATTCTGAACTTTGTATTGTTCAAGTAGCACACCCATGCCACCTCGTTTTAAGGTGGAGTGCAGGTTGTTTTGTTATGTTAGTTTTTAGGGTGTATATGTTTTCCCTGAATTTTGATCTATCCTTCATGCTTTGCTTGCCAAACTTACTTTTATATGTGAATGTCTGTAGTTACTTAGCAACATAATGCTTGAGTTATCGCTATAGCTGTTAATATCTTAACTTATAGTTGTCTAGTTGGCTGGTTAAATGGTTGGGAGTATCTCATGATAACCTTGAGGTTATATGTTTGAAATCTACCTTTGGTAGTCCCAGTGAATCAACAGGGTTGTTTCAATAGGTCATTGGGACTGATTTCCCAAGTTTTCATATAAACTGATTTTTCTGACTGCTCTTTGTAACTTAAACTAGGATTTAGGTTTTTATGCAGGAATATTTCGTAACAATTTCTTGCGTTTGTTGCATTGTGTCATTCTACCTTGTATTTAGCTCCCTGATTTTTAATTTTTGGGTTTTTCTAAAAACTCGTTTCGCCTTCTATTTTAAGTTGAAATTTGCTTATTTCTATATATTGGAACTTGTCTTGACTTATGTTTTAAGTTGAATTGCCTATTTTTATAACTTTGACTGGAATTGTGAAGTTAGGGTCACTTAGACAATTAAATATTTATATGCGATCCGGAATTTCATGAGACATATGCTCTTTGATTTAAACCTCCTTGTATAGACTGTGCAGCTCAATCCCTGGGAAATTCTTACCCTTTATCATTAATTCCCATTGAAGATTGTTGTTGTGTGCATTTCTCCGTCCCAAATTAAGTGTCCACATTTCTATTTTAGTTTGTCTCAAAATAAGTGCTCACTTTCAAAATTAAGTGTGTATTTTCTTATTCTACCCTTAATTATGTGATGTAGAAAATCTCTCTATTATTAAGGGTAAAATGTCATCTACTTACTTAAAAAGTGTAATAATTTTACACACTTCTAAAATTGTGTCTCATTTTCATTGTGGACATTTGTTTTGGGACGGAGGGAGAACAACGAAACTGAAATTTGACAATATTATATCGTTCTGTGTTATGGGATTGGGTGTTTAACTCCCTGCAGTTGTTTAGTATTTCAACGACATAGAATATTTGAGTAACTGCTAGGTGTTGGTATCTGTACCTTGTTGGTCTTTATGGTTCTTATTATGCACCTATTCTATGCTCTTTTGGATCTTTCGTACAGATTTCTCTACATTATCACTAATGGTGCAACATATATTATTTATTCTATGTTGCACTAGCTGATGTTGTTCATGCTAATTTGATGTTCAAGTCTTTAAGACAAACTTCATCCTGAATCATGTTATCTCTATGATTGAAGTCTTTCTAAATCCTCTATGTCTATGGTAGCCGTTCATTCATTAACTTTAATGCATTCAGCTTCGAGATGTCATCATCATATCTTCCAGCCACAACCGAGTCACTTGACATGGCTTCAGAAGCCAAAAACCGATCAGAGGCTATCACCATTCTTTATCAGATCTTAGATAACCCAGCTGCTTTTTCTGAAGCGCTACGGGTCAAGGAGCAGGCAATTGCTAAATTGTCTGATCTTCTCAGGGAAGAAGGTAGAGGAGAGGATCTCCGTGGTCTTTTGACCATGTTGAGGTCCTTCTTTTCACTGATTCCAAAGGCCAAAACTGCAAAAATAGTAAGGGGTATCATTGACTCTGTTGCAAAGATACCAAACACCACTGATCTTCAGATATCACTTTGCAAAGAAATGGTGGAGTGGGCCCGTTCTGAGAAGCGTACATTCTTGAGGCAGCGTGTCGAGGCCAGGCTTGCTGCTTTGTTGATGGACAGCAAGGAGTACTCGGAAGCTCTCACCCTTCTTTCTGGATTGGTAAAAGAGGTCAGAAGATTGGATGACAAACTGCTCCTTGTCGATATTGACTTGTTAGAAAGCAAATTGCACTTCTCGTTGCGAAATCTCCCCAAAGCAAAAGCTGCACTCACGGCTGCTAGAACAGCTGCAAACGCGATCTATGTTCCTCCAGCTCAACAAGGTACCATAGATTTACAGAGTGGAATTCTCCATGCCGAGGAGAAAGATTATAAAACTGCCTACAGTTACTTCTTTGAAGCATTTGAAGCATTCAATGCTCTTGATGATCCCAGAGYAGTTTACAGTCTCAAATATATGCTGCTATGCAAAATCATGGTGAACCAGGCTGATGATGTAGCTGGAATAATCTCTTCGAAAGCTTTGAAATTCTTAGGGCCAGAACTTGATGCAATGAAAGCTGTTGCCGATGCTTATTCGAAGAGGTCATTGAAGTTGTTTGAAATCGCCCTTCAGGATTTCAAGGCTCAGTTAGACGAAGACCCTATTGTCCATAGACACCTTTCCTCGCTTTATGACACGCTGTTGGAGCAAAACTTGTGCAGGTTATGATTCTTAATGTTATTAGGGTTGCCGACCTTTCAAACCATCATACTTAACTATCACAGCAAACATACCATTATTCTTGTGAAAAATAAAAGACAAACTTTAACTTTCTATGAATGAGCTATTTTGAAGAAAACAATGACAATGGTTGCTATTGGACTTATGCTGTGAGTACCACTTTTGCCTCTAAAGAATTTAATGGTTCAGTTTGCACACAAAATACACCCAAATTGCCTTTGTTTCTGCAAGATTATAGGCAGCATCAGTTTGTGTTTTACTCTAGCTTTTTCATTCTTTTTACATCTACATAGTTTGTCAAAACTGCTTGTTTTTGCAGACTATAAGGATCTCGTTGGTATTTTGGCGAAAATAATGATTCCTTTGCAACAAAAAACTAAATATAGTGGTTTGAAAAGTCAAATCGCTTATTGTTATTATGGTTCACGTTAGAATCAATAATTGTACCAATTGCTAATTTGAACTTTTATTTTGCTGTTTATGTTATTAATTTAATCATACAACATATTTACAGATTTTGGTGTAAAAACTTATGCAGATTGATTGAACCGTTTTCAAGGGTGGAGATCGCTCACATTGCTGGACTCATTGAGCTTCCAGTGGAGCATGTGGAGAAGAAACTGTCTCAGATGATATTGGACAAGAAGTTTGCTGGAACCCTGGATCAGGGCGTTGGGTGTCTCATCATCTTTGACAATCCAAAGGCAGATGCGATCTATCCTTCAACACTCGAGACCATTGAAAACATGGGCAAGGTTGTCGATAGCTTGTTCATGAGATCAGCCAAGATAATGGCGTGAGCGGATTCCCTGGTACGTGTATATTTTGTTTCTTCTTTGAGATGTTATTTAATTGCAATCTTAAGACTGAAAAAGGAAAATGAAATTTGAAGCAGATGAATTGATCCATGGGATTGTGTTGTTGATTCATCAACGAGTATGAATTTTACCATCTGTTTATTTTTTTTCTTTCATCCTTTTGGTTAATCCAAATTGCGTTCATCAACCTGGTCGATAAGTGGATTATGAGACTTTATGTCAGGGTTTCATTGGGGATATTTACCTAGCTGCTTTTGGTACATGCGATAGGACAAGACAGGACAAAACTCACTGTCCCACATTTGGTGTGACACCGGACAGGGACATCGTGGGACAAAAAAGCTTTTTCTTGTTCCATCAAAATAGGTGGGACAAAAATGAGATAGAAACTAAAGTATTACTAATTAACCCTCGTTTGATATACAACCTTAATATGATATATGTTTTAGTGGTCACAATTGCTAGTTGCGGCCACCGCCACCATCGGCCCTCCACCTCCTTTTACAGTGCAACAACCTCCTCCACTAACACCGTCGATTACCGACCGACATCATACATCACCACCACCACAACATCGGTCACAACTACCTCCTTCATCACTGTCAACTCCCACCACCACTACTATCTACCATCTTCATGTCCTCCACAACCACCGTCAGCCACCTCCACCTCAACCATAACCAACACCGCCACCATCGGCTACCATCACCACTACCTTCACAACATCGGCCACAACTACCTCCTCCACCACTGTCGACGGCCACCACCATCATCCACCACCAATCACCTATGCTTCTGCCTCCACAACCATTGTTGTTATAACAATATTCACCGTGCCTTCTCTTAATGATAAAGATCTTCCAAACCGAATAAAACATAATTTCTTCTTTGTACGAATTGAGTTCTTATAACTACCATCAATTATATCAAAATTTCTATTCAAAATTGATACCATTATGTGTGTGTGTATATATGTACGAAAAATGTGGAAAAATGTTTATATATTAAATTAAATTATTTACTTTATTTGTGTTAATAATAACTATTATATAATATATAAAATCATCATATAACATTTTGGGACAACTTGTCTAGTTCTACTGTCCAGTCCTAGTCATACCAAACATCAGACAGACACTTGTTTTGTCCTTTTCAGTCCTACCCTCTTGTCCAGTTTTGTCATGTCCTGTCTAGTCCAGTCCTACGCTCTTCCAGTTTTATCTTGTCCTGTCCAGTCCTACCATATTGTCCAGTTTTGTCCTATCCTGTCCAGTCCAATCCAATCATATCTGCGTACCAAACGCTATCTAAGTCTATTCGGGTTGTATATATAATGATCAAAGTATTTACGAAAATAATAATTGGTCCATAAGTACGAAATGCTTAGCAAGGGGTTTGTTTGTTAGTAGCTTAGTGAGACTTGCAGCATATTCAATCGTCATACATGACTGTACGGTAGTGGCTTAATGATACAGTGGCTTGTTCAATAAACTTCTAGGGGGGCAAGTTATTTCCAAACCTGGCCATTCCAATAAAAAAATACGCTCCTCTATGAAAAACCCTACCAAACAAAAACTTTTCAATCTATACAAACAGATTAATCCACATGAACATATTTTCCAACCAAACAGCCCCTAAGTGATATTTAAGGGTTCATGAGAACACCGTATACATACTTGATGAATGACTTGTCCAGTTATAATTGGACCTTAAAGCAGGTTTCAGATAATATAAATGATGGAACTTAGACTTGGATAACTTAGGATTTGGACTGATAAAAAAAGATATTCAGGTTCATTCGAGAGGTTACTTGTTGAAAATCCTAAGAAAGTTCTGACATGTTATAACAATAACAATGCACTAAGCAACAAGAGCAATGCAAGTTTTTATGATGATGTATTTATGAGATATGCATATGATATATGTTAGGTTATGAAATATGTATGCATGAAAGCTTTTGTTGAAGCGTGTGGAAATACTAAGGATGCGAAAGCTTGTTATTGGTGGGAAACCTGTTTCGATGTATGTAATTCAATCAGAATGATTTGTCATCATATAGTACAAATTTATATTGCGCATACAACAGAAACAAGAGCTCTTATTGATACGTATAATTTTAGAATGGTTTATGTATGAAATCTACTTTCATGATGCTACATGTATGCATTGTTGTTGAAAGTGTATGATTTTTGACATTTTAAACCAAAGTTGGAGAATTAATAAATATGTTTGTTGTTCAACATCATATATATATATTGGAACACGGTAAAATATGTTATTGTTTTATTGGGTGTTGTTTGGTAATGAATTGTGAGCTGTTTGGTTGGTTTTCTATTAAGTTCTGTATGAATAAAGTTGTCTGTGTGAGTTAATATATTTGTGTAGATTAAGAAGATTTTTGTTTGTGATGGTTTTTTCATAGATGGAAGGAACATGAACGTGTTTTTTAATTGGGAGGGACAAGTTTAGAAAAAACTTGGTTTTCTACATAATGCTTCCCCTAAAAGCTTACTGAATAAGCTACTTTCTATATTATTAAGTCACTACCAAAGCGGTCATGTATAGCTGACTGAATAAATTATGAGTCTCGTTAGTTCATTAAGCTATTAACTTACAGACCTTTGAACATGTATGATTTCCCTTTAGTCTTTTACGGATCAAATTGGGATTTTTGAATGATGAGCTTTAGTTTTATCGGGATTAATAAGGTGATTAGTGGGAATCATTAGGCTTAGTGTAAACTCTATCTTTGATCCTTGAGGTTTTATGAAATATCTGAAAATGGGATCTGAATTTTAACAAGTGTAGAAAGCATCTTTATGGTTTTCATTTTGCTCTAAAGATGGTCTCTATTCACTAATTCTATTAAAGAATCTCTTAGAGTAAGAGGGCATTTATGTCTTTTTAGTCATTTTCTTTTAAAAGATTTTAAAAGATAAATTATATTGTATAAGCTTTTTTCAAAGTAACATTTTTCTCTCTCTCTATCCTCTCCATTTTTCGGTGAATATCCATTCTCTGGAGTCCATTTTCCGGCATCACCATTTTTTCTGAAGAAGCTCCACAAATATATATATATATATATATATATATATATATATATATATATATTCAACAAGGATTGGTTTTGGTGTGAAGAAAGTTATGATGAGATCGTAAAAAGAGATCCTCACGTTTAGGTCAAAATACTAATTCAATGTCGACGCTAATGAGGTGCATCGAGATGCACCAGATAAATTCTCTTCTAAAGCATAATCCATGGGTGGGCATGACTATGAGATCAAAAGTGATCAAGGGTTCAGATCCCTTATTACGCTTTTCATCTTAACTCTCATTTTCACACAAACTCTAAAGTTTCGATGTGTCCTCAAAACTCAAAATCGAAGAGAGAGAAGTCCAGATTTTGTCCCTATGCTCGAACTCGAAGAAACCCATAGATTATATTCGTCTCTGCACCTTCTTTTCGTCTCTCAACTCAAAGAAACCCTCCGGTTGGGGGTTGGGGAGTCAGGGGTCAATAGAGGTTGATGAAGACTCACTTAAAAACCATTTTTTATGCATAAAGTACTGTTTATTGATACACATTACTTAAAATTTAAGATGACAAGTAGATTGAACGTATATACAACTTATTAAAGCTCTATGTTTGAATTCGTGTAACTAACTGTAGATAAACATAATTAAATACAAGATAAACATCTCATTTTAAATATAAAAAATCTAAAATAATTAGGATAATCATTGAGTTCTAACATAATACTTAATTATTATCTTTATAAAAAAATATGTTATTAACCAAAAAATCATTGTTAAACTTAAATTAAATTATAATAAAAATTTGAATTAAAGAAATTACACAAAAAAAAGAACTTTTAAATAGTTAACTTGATACTGATATCGATATATTATTTTTAAAATTTTATGATATCTTCAAATTTATATTTTATTCAAAACTAAAAATATTATCACTTTCACAAAACCATATAAAATGATAGCGACTTATAATAAAATGAAAAATTAAAATTGAGATGTATCTCGTTGTATATATTGCACGAGTACCATTTTAGTTTAATAAAATATATAAATCATATTTTCTACTTTTTTAAAACAAAATTAAGGAAAAAAAAAAAACTAAAACACCTTTGATTTAACGAAATTTTTAATGGAGTTAGTGACTAGAGACCACTTTCAAAGTAAAATAAAAACCACAAATATAATTTACAGACTCAAGACCTTATCAGAGTTCAAGTCTTGTTTTCAGACTTTTCACAAAACCTCAAGGACCAAAATTAGAGTTCACTCTCAGGCTTATAATAATAATAATTTATTTATTTGATTTTAATTAATAATTATTTATGTAAGTGAAAAAACCATTCATGTTTCATCTGAAAATCCCGCACCCTCGTCTGAAAGACATTCCCAAGATTTCTCTTTCAAATACAAGGAAAAACATACACATATTTTCTACGTCTGTGCTCCCTCTTTGACGAACAGCTTTAAATCTCGTCAAATTTTTAGACCAATGTCTCCATATATCCTTTTTTAATGATGCTTATTGTCTTGCACATTCGATATATCGATATACTTTTATGTATTATTTTCTATTTATTTGATATATCGAAAAGGCAAAAAGGGAACCGTTTAATGTATTATTTCCAATTTATTTGATATATCGAAAGGGTGTCCATAAACGCAACACAACCACCAAAATGGGATTTATATTGCTCTTAACTTTTTATTTAATATATATACTTTTTATAAACATTTTTCTAAATAGAATTTGTGAGGGACATCAAAAGGCATCACTCATTCATCATGAACGCTTCAAATAAGGAAACCTTTATTTTCTGAAAACGTGAAAAAACTCTTTTACTGTAGTCAATCACATGTGATGCTAAATTAGAGACGAGGACGAGCTTTGGCACGACCTAGGTTACGGACCGAGTCGCCTGCATAATACTAGGCCCCTTCACGTTTGTTATCAAATGTGATAATGATGATACTATAATCCATCACATGTGATACTAAATCAGAGACGCAAATAACCTTTGCTGAGACCTAGGTTGCGGGCCAAGTCATCCGCACACCACTAGTGCTATTCACGTGTATTATCACATATGATAAGGGTTTTTTTTTCACATTTTTCGTAAAATGAAAGGTGTTTTCGTTTGTAGCTCCACCTGAACACCCTTATCACATATGATAATACACGTCAGTGGACTGATGGTATGTTGACGTCAAAGGTCGTATGCATCTTTGAGTTTTTTTTTATTAACCTGGATATCCAACCCGCTATGCGAGCCGACTAATCCCATGGCGACCATCTGCTTTGCAGATAGCCTAGAGTCACCGCATTTGAACCTTCGTGGCCACAAAAGGGATTTTTATTCCTCCTTGGATTTGAACCTGAGACCTCTTGGTACTTTTAACCTTTGGAGTCAAGCTCAAACCAATCAGGCACCACCCTTGTGGTTATCTTTGAGTTAGTATCACACTTGATGGATTATAGAATCACATCAAAAATACCATTATTACATATGATAATACACATGATGCAGCCTAGTAGTGTGCGAGCTATTTGACCCGTAACCTAAGAGGCCAAAAGTCGTTCATATCTCTGATTTAATATCACACATATGATAAAATACAGTATCACATGTGAATAAAAAGTTGATTCCTAATCATGCATTCGAAACTTGAGATTGAAGGTGCATACAATTTTACACTTCTTTTATGGGCATTGGTTCACAACACATTGGGTTTATATAATTTAATACATAGTGCTCACTCTTTTCTATATTTATTTAATTATTTATATAATTTAATAACATGAATTACTTTATTTAATTTATGGATTTAATTATGATAGTTATAGTACGAATCGTCTTTATCAGGTAGATTTTGTGTTCTTTGAATTTAAAATGTCAAATCACTTTTAAACCACATCATTTAATCAAAACTTATAATATCATAATCTAAATAATGCTTTCGGTTTAATAATGTATGATAATTCTACACATAAAACCAAATTAAAGACATTTCAAAAGGTCTTATACAAAACCCGTTTCTTAAAACGACATGTGAGTAGGCATTTCAGGGTCGATTCAACGGCTAAAGCCAGCAAATGGGTCAAGTCCATCTTCCGGAGGATTCGAACTTGAACCTGTTGTGTATTTGAATAAAATACGCTTTGGTCCTTTCCCAACTGAGAAATAAGCCAGAAGGATAGATATGTTTTCGTGTTACCTTTTTGGGTATTTATGGACTCATGTAGCTCGGGACCATTCTAATAAGCCTTTAGTTTCTTTTCAGTTTGAGGTTGTTTGTTTTCATATTTGAATTCTAGTACTGTAGATGGGATTTCGTTCAGGTTTTGAGAAGGTTCAGATGATGACGTCCTATCTTCATCATTGTACTTTTATGGGCATTCTTTATTATGTTCACAATCGATGCAGTTTCCTTTTGTATATGTATATATTACAAAAAGAAGATCGTGTGATTAATTATGAAAAAGATTCATGCATGTATATATGCGTGTACTTTTCTACTTTAGAGACTGCGAACTTATAAAATTTAGTGGAGTACACCTTTTCATATAAGAAGTATGTGTTTACGTGTTCACACATTCATTGTGACAATAATCGTGAAACGTGTTTAGTTCGTTAATTTAGAAAACATATGTCTCAAGAAATCAGTTCTAATAAACTCAATGGCTACAATGTTGTGTACGCATGGAATCGAACCCTGAGCCAATGTGATATTCCATTGCACCCCTCAGGATCTCAACCACTGTGCCTCAACCCTTGTGGTTTTAAGAATCTTAATGGTGTGACACTGTGTTTTTCTTGTAATTCGTCTGGTATTTCTTTTTCAAAATTGACAATAGTCTAAAACAATGAACTTTGACAGTAAGAACGAGTGAATAGTGTCAAACACTAACGACATATAACCAACAAACCAGATTATCGTTTTCAATATCTAACAAACTAATACTGATGAAATTTACCAATGTTATTTCCATTTTATCGTGGGCACAAAAGTAGTCTTTTAAGTTTCATCAACATCAATTATTTCTAACAGATATAACTATCAGTTTTATAATTGTATTCACCGAATTCCTAAGGATGGGTTTCTTTCATCGTTACCACTTTTGACAAAATAACAACAAACATCGTTGTATATAAATGTCAGCAAATTGTACATAGATTCCAACAATCTTGATGCTCGACGTTCTTCTTGATGCAAAGTCAAGGTGTCAAACGTATAAGCGATGGGGTCACCATCGCTGGTTCAATAAAGAACTG